CAACCGTGAAATAATTTATCTTGGGATCTAGGATGTCTTTGTCTTCTGTGGAGCCAGACGCGTTTCCTTATCCAGAGAACTTTGACTTTCACTAGAAATCTCTATACTGCTATATCTGGAAAAAATCTATAGGTTTTCATAGATATGAGCTCTGCTTCAGTGTCAGCTGACATAAACTCCCATTTTCCTGAACATCTTGAATTGCCTGTGCTTGCTTCCCACTTAGTTTTCTGTAACTGCCATGAAACAAATGTTCTGAAGAGCAAGAATCATGACAGATTGTGACCGCGAGGATGACTCCTCTAAAAACATCAGTTACAGGTAAACAATCACTATGGTGTCTCAGCAATCCCAGATTGATTGAGCGATTGGTTGAATATCTCATCTTTCTCCCAATATGGAAGTCAAAGCAGCGAGGAGCTTGATCAGCTAACACACCTGCGAGAGTGGGTAGTGAAATGCTAAATATGACTCTAGTTGCTGCATGCATACTCAGTGCTTGAAACATAATAGTGGAAGGATGGAAGCCTGTATAACTTTTTCAAGGATCAGAATAGCAAATAAAAAGACAGGCTGCTATCCCTCCTGGGCTGCTAAACCTTGTCAATCCACTTGCACCTATAATAAACTAAACCTGTTCTTAATCATGTGAACTGGGAAAGGAAATTGCAAGGAAAATGTCTTGGGATGCAATAAATACATTTGATAGAAGTTTGAGATCAAATTGGGTCACAACTCTACCATAGATTCAGAGATGAACAACCGCAACACCCGGAGAGGGTGGGGAGGAGGCAAGAGGCAACTGGCATTTTGTGTCCTCAGACCACCTGCCTTGGGAAAACACAGGGTGGCTTTCAAGACACCTGCAGCCAATTCCAGTTAGGAATGTGCCCAAATGTCTTCAATGAACCTGGATCAGGATTCAGGCTTTCCCCCAACTTAGCAGTCTAGTCATTAAGGCAGCCTTTTGCCCAGCTTAAGCCAGATCAGCCCCATGTGGCATTTATCTGCTGACGAACTGTTCTGGGTACACACTGACTTAAGCAGGCAGTGTAGGTGAGCCATAGACATGAAGCTTTGGAGTGCCCTTGGATTTGTTATTGTCTGCTAAAGCACACCTGGCATAGTTATGAATACCTTTTAATAGCTTAAATTGATACATCAGCTGATATCCAAACTAAAATAGTCATCCATTCAAAAAGCATTTCCAGACTTGTGCATTTGTAACTCTGCCAGGGAGTAGAGGACTGCCTTTGAAGATGGTTTAAAAACTTAAGATCTGTTGAAAATGCAGGGCAGTGCTAAGTGCATTGCGTCACCCTGATTCCGTTGCACTTATAGATGCACTTCAAGGTGCCAGGATTAATCTTTAGAGAGCTGAAGAGTTTGGGGAAATCAGTGGTCATTTTCACCTGTGCAGTCTTGCCAGTTTCTTAAAAATAGCAGAAAGATGATTATTCCACATACCTCTTTAAGATAAATCAGGTTAATAGATGTGAGGCAGCCTTCATGGTGGTAACTTCAGAGTAATTCATAGCCCTTGCTATGAGACTAATTGTGCCTCCTACGGTGAAGTCCTTTATTATATCCCAAAACCATTTCAAACACTGCCCCTTCTTAAGCAATGTTTTTATACAATACTGTGTTCTTATAATTGTACGAATCTTGATTATATTTTGGAGCCACTGGTGGCGCGGCGGTGCTGAGCTGCTGAACTTGCTGACCAAAAGGTCTGCAGTTTGAATCCGGGGAGCAGAGTGAGCTCCCACTATTAGACCCAGCTTCTGCCAACCTAGCAGTTCAAAAACATGCAAATGTGAGTACATCAATAAGTACCACCTTGGCAGGAATGTAACTGCACTCCATGCAGTCATGACCTTGGAGGTGTCTATTGACAATGCCGGGTCTTTGGCTTAGAAATGGAGATGAGCACCACCCCCCAGAGTTGAACATGACTAGACTTAATGTCAAGTGGAAATCTTTACCTTTTAAAAACTATATTTCATTCTAAATGCATTGGATCACTTGTCATTGGCATGCCATTAATAGTAGTCTCTAAATACTTAAAAGAAACATGGAGGAGATTAACCCACACATTAAATTTTCCAGGGGGACACAAAATTACAGAAGACTTCATGGGTTCCTGAGAAAGACCTACAGTAGTAGGTGGACAGGGGGAAGCAATGTGACTTTTTTCCAATTCTGATTGTTGATCTATTTTTTTTATTGAAAATCCGTTTTAGTACTAATGCCACTAGAAAAAAAGAAAGGGCAGATGTAGAGGGATCACTTCATTTCTTGCTGAAGACAACCCTGTGAAATTCATGACATTGCCACAAGTCAACAAGCAATCTGAAAGCACTCTCACACACACAATGTACACATTAAATATAAGCTTTGAATACTCAACCACAATGTACATTTACAATAGAAGTTATTTTGAAAAGCTGAAAGATATGTTATTGCATAGAGTGCAAATGAATCAGAAATGCATTTACAAGCTGTGTTTATTAAAATAATCATTTCCACATTTTCTGTGAGGTCTTTTACGCTCTGAGCACGTTTTTCTTTTGTCTATTTGAACGGTTTAAAAATCAAGGTTACTGTTTTTATTAACTGAACTGTGGAAAAAGGTAGTTTTGTTGGCCTAGCCTACAGGTTAACTCAGAAACAGAAAATGTGACTTCTGGGAAGCAATCTGCTCATTTTCCATTCTCTGTTCTATATGCAACTGCTGACATGTTGTCTTTTGACTCTCCCATAAACCCAACCAAAAGGGGAACTTTCGCTTCAAGAGGCGCTGCTGTTTCTTCCCTGTGCAAGTTCTTTTCTTTCAGTCTTACAACTTATCTGGATATCAAATTTGAACAGTGACTCCTGAAATCTTATTAGAATGTCACAATGTAAACTTATTGACTTCTGAATTCCTGCGTATTTACAGGAGTGCCCTGGATAATATTAAAAGCTAAGTGAAGTCTCTACAATGGGTTCTTGGTATTCTCTGGGTTTGGTCCCAGGACCCCTTGTGGACACTCAATTCTCATTACATATAATGGTGTAGTAAAATGGTGTCCCTTACACAAAATGGCAAAATCAAGGTTTGTCTTTTAGATTTTTTTGTTGCTGAATATTTTCAAGTTGTAAATAGTTGACTCCATGGCTGTGGAATATGTGAATATGATGGGCGAACTGCATACAACTCCTTTCTATGCCTTAATTGCCACCTCTTGGAGCCCCCTGTGGTGCAGTGGGTTAAACCCTTGTGCCAGCAGGACTGAAGACCGACAGGTCAGAGATTCGATTCCAGGGGAGAGCACAGATGAGCTCCCTCTGTCAGCTCTGGCTCCCCATGCGGGGACATGAGAGAAGCCTCCCAGAAGGATGATAAAACTTCAAAACATCTGGGAGTCCCCTGGGCAACGTCTTTGCAGATGGCCAATTCTCTCACAAAAGAAGTGACTTGCAGTTTCTCAAGTCGCTCCTGACACGAAAAAAGCCATCTCTTGACTCAAGAAAGGGAACAGGTTCGGGGGGGGGGGGGGGGAGAACATTTGTAAATTTGGAATGGGGTAATTCTCTAGGGCAGTAGTTCCCAAACTTCGTCCTCCAGGTGTTTTGGACTTCAACTCCCAGATAACCCAGCCAACTTACCAGCTGTTAGGAATTGTGGGAGCTGAAGTCCAAATCACCTGAAGGCCCAAAGGTTGGGAACCACTGCAACAAACCACACACAAGTTTCTTCCATGTGCCAAAGTACATCCTATATTCAGATATCTACCACAGGCTGATGGGCAGCCAGGCTCTGTGTCTACTTACCAGGAAAGACGTAGAAATTGCTTGTCACATTTTGCCTGTTCTAGAAATGACTTGTTTTTATTTTTACAAAGCATTTTTAGCTTTGTTTTCTTCAGCATCTCACTGGTGGGTCCCGGGACTAGAACTTCTCCAAATGTAATGATATTTGATTGCTTTAAAATAAATCTATGCCTATTTAACTTTGCTTTATTGAGGCTCTGTGCAGAACCTATAAATTCCATTTGCAAATGATATATTTCTCAGAGCAAACAGACTACCCTTAAACAGTAAGCAGGAAAACACAATTCATAAAATCCTGTTGTGGAAGTTTAAATGCCATTAATCCAATCCCCCAAATTAAAAATACCAGTGCAGATTCAGGCTATAGGAAGAGAAATCCAATTATTTCCTTCTCCATTTAAAAAGCAAGGAAGTAACAAAAATTCAGCAGAGGTTTAAAGGGCATGATCCCATTATACAGACTAGCTTCCCCAGTTTCAAAAGTATCAAAACATTTGTAACACAATACTGTGACAGATTGGGATATGACACAACATGGAAGACAACATAAAATTCATCCATCTGTAACTATAATTGTAAGAAAGGATTATGAACTTTGCAAAAACATTTTCCTGGCCTCTACAAGACTTGAGGTAGGTAAGGAATCCGGAGTTTGGTTATGAATTTGTTTTATATGCTGTGTAGTTTAATTTTCGTTATTATGTGTGTATTAGTTGTTATGTTCAGGCATTGAATGTTTGCCTTTTTTGTGCCTAGAATCTGCCCTGAATCCCTTCAGGCACATAGGTCAAAATATAAATAAAGTTGTTGTTGTTGTTGTTGTTGTTATTGTTATTATTATGAAGACTGAGAATGATAGCTACAATTTTGTATGAAAGCACTTACTTATGTGCCAAGTTGTTGCATTTGTCTAATTAAGAGCATATTTGCCATTATATGTATGGAGTCAAATGAAAGGTCAATGTTATGAACTTTCACACTATACATATATTAATCCATAAAATATATCACTGCGAACATTTTTCTCAATTTAGTTCTTAAAACAACAAATACTGCTTTCAGGCCAGTAACAATACACCTGGAAGGAGATGATTATGCATTATGTGCACTGCTTTTCATGAGTGTTCCACATTTAAATATGAAACTACTATGTTAAGAACACAACTGAACAAGTCAAGAACAAGTTGCAGTTTATATATATATTCTTTTAATTAAATTAAGTTCCACAAACCAATAGGAAATCTTTTCAGCTGCAAATAAAAGGACACTTTTGTTTACTGTACCAAACGTGAATATTATGTGCACATGAAAAAGTTATCACCCTTTTGCCAGTATAGTTACTTCCACAGGTTTGCTCCATGACAAAACTTTTTTAAAGTTTGTTGTGGGTGGAGAATGTGGTTCACTGTAAGGGATGGCATCCATAAGTAGCCATTTTACATGGCTGCTACAAGTTGGTTATTTTTTGGGAAGCAATCTTCTTGAACCTTTTTTTACCCACCAAGAATCCCATTGGAAATCCTTCACTGGCAAAAAAATATCTATTGCTGGAAGGTAGCAGTTAACAGTTTTCACATTCCGTAAAGGTTAACGGTTTTCACTTTGGAGACCTTTTTGAAAATGTAGGAGGGGGTGCAGTGAAAACAGGAAATTGCCATAATCTCCTTTCCCCCCTCATTTTACTGGCAAGTGTCATTAATGGAGATTGCTAACTGGATGTCACCCAAAAGACCAACCTGCCCCACTCCCACCCTCACATATCGTTATTCAGGATCATATCCTAGAATCGGTGCCAACCACTTTTCAACCTCTGCTACAGACATGTTTTTCCTTAAGGCATAATCTTCAACCTGCAAATAGAAATAGAAGATCACCAAGTTAGCATTTTAACTTCAAAAGCTCTCATTTGCACATGATAAGAATATGTGGAAAAGCACATTTTCTCCAAGGGTATGAATGAGAAGAACAATTTTATCACTTTCTCATCCATCTCTCCTCTCCATGAACATATCAACATTTCAACTTTCTTCCTATATGTGAAATGATAGAAATCATACCTACATTACGTAATAAAATATTCACATTAGAGTCTCATAAATTACAGATCTAAAATGGACATTTTTTACACCAGATGGTTTCCTATATAATATACACTAGCAAATTTGTATCAACTATATCATATTTTGATCTTTAATTACAGATTATATGCTTGTCCTACTCTCCAAACAGTCATATTTTTTCTGTTACCAAATTTTCCATTTTTGGTATCTTAAATAATTTCAAAAGTTTAACAAAAATAATCAATGTACACTAAATCGGTTCTTAATGGTTCTTTTGAGGAAAGTTCCTTAAATTATAGGCCATGAAGGTCCAAACAGAAATAAATTCAATCATCATTTTAAAAATCTTGGTTGTCTAAACACAACTTCCATCAGATGTGAAAGCTAAACTGTGAAGGCCCAACTGACACCAACATTACAGCTGTTTTGGTGAAAACATTGTTATTTATAAAAGCCTTTGATCCTTCACTAATTTTAAAGTTCATTTTAAACTATTATAATACTTTTGATTTGCTGATTGTTTGATAGATTTTTAGTTTTTAAAAAATATTGATATTAAATGTTGTTGGATTGTTTTTATCCTATGTGACCTTTGAATAAAGGGCTGGGTGGCACAGTGGGTTAAACCGCTGAGCTGCGGAACTTGCTGACCAAAAGGTTAGCGGTTCGAATCCAGGGAGTAGGGTGAGCTCCCACTGTTATCCCCAGCTTCTGCCAACCTAGCAGTTTAAACACATTCAAATGTGAGTAGATCAATAGGTACTACCCCAGCAGGAAGGTAACGGTGCTCCATGCAGTCATGCCGGCCACATGACCTAGGAGGCACCTTTGGATAACGCCAGCAATTCAGCTTAGAAATGGAGATGAACCCCCCCCTTCCCCCAAAGTTGGACATGACTAGACTTACTGTCAAGGGGAAACTTTTACCTTTACATATAAAATAAACAACATTCCCCACTTCACTGCCACAAGAATTTGGTTTCCAAACTCTGTACATTTCACATGCTTCCCATGGTGGCAGGCCGGCCTTACCTGGTCTTTTAATATCTTGCCAACTGCAAAGTACTGGGAACCAGGATTGGAAAAGTAAAGGCCAGATACTGCTGAAGCAGGCAACATTGCAAGGGATTCTGTTAGCTGAATACCTGTGGGGATCAAAGAAATATGAGAGCTGAATCTTTACGAGAGCAGATACAATATTATGGTTAAGACAGTGAGCTGTGATAGTTCTGGTTCAAGTTTCATCTCAGCATGGGCTTCAGGCAAGATACTGTTCTCAGTCCATATCACTGCATACACTCTGTAATAAGGGTATAACAACACTGGCCTGACTCTATTGTTCTGAAGATAACAAATCTTAAATACATACTTCGGTCGTCACTCCACATTTGGAGAGTGACGATTTGGAGAGTGTTGCCCCAGGACACATGGGTCACACAAATGCATACAAATGATTGAAAATTAAAATAGGAATTGGCCAGAAGCCCACTTCTGATTGCAAATGTCTTTTGGGGATTTATTTGAATTTAAAGGCAGGCGCTTTGAAGAGTTCTCTAACCTCTTTTATGGCCAAAAATAAAAATAGAAATAACATTGGTTTTGAAGGCCTCCAAAAGTGAGGAATACAAATTTTGACAGAAACATGGGTTTGTTTTGGTTTTCAGACCTCATGTTAAATAGTTGCTAATGGGATATGAACCACAAAAAGCTTTCACCTTGCCCAACCTTGGCCTACATATCAAAAAGACAGCAAAAAGAAGGCAGATCAAGAATCCCTTGGAAGCAAATTCCAAAGCTTAAAAACAGCCAGGGTGAAGCCTCTCTCTTCTGTCTGGGAGGCTAATGGAGAGAAGATAAAGGCTTTGAGATAGACTGGACATAAGCAATAATAATGAGCCTATATGTGGTTTCAGTGGTATAGAAAAACGTAGTTTACTTTAAAGAAAAGAAACGTTAAGTTGGCCTCTGTATCCATGGATTCAATTATCCACAACTTGAAAATATTTTAACCCCTTTATTTTTTTCCATTTTATATAAGAGACACCAGTTTGCTAAACAATTTTCTATAATGGGACCTGAGCATTCACAGACCTTTGGTTAAGCAAATGTTGTGGAATGTTGTTTTAAAACAGCAGAGCCCCCTTTCCTCCACACTTACTCTTCAAAAAATAGTCAGAAGAATGATAGGTTAAAAGAGTGAAAGCTAAACGGTATTTTTTTCCTGTTTCTCCTGATTTTTAAAATGCTAGGCTTGCAAATATACTGAAAAGGGTTAATTTCAATAAAAAAACATTTTGAAAATAAAACTTCACAGCCAAATATTCAACCTACCTGTTGCTCCCTCGATGTTTCCAAGCTTCCACATAGTGATTTTTTCAGTGTGGTCAGGTTGACATGGATAGCCAGGTGCTGGTCGAATGCCATCATATCTAATCCTCCGCAGGTCTGAAAACTCCAGCTGTTCATTTTCAGAATAAGCCCAGAATTCTTTGCGAACTCTTTCGTGCAGTTCTTCTGCAAATGCCTTGGAATAAAACAGAAGCAAACTGCTATGTTGGCCGTGCTAAAACCAGATACCTGATTCATACATAACTTTAGTCATTTCTTCACTATCCTACATTGCCCTACTTAGACCAATGGCGTCCCACCCACTGGGAGAAGAATCTCTAATTTAACTAGAAGCTTCTGTCACTGTAACAGGAAGAAGCAATTTTAGCCTCTCTCTGGAGTCCCTTTAATCTATTACTTTGGTACATGGCAGAAAAGACTACTGAAGAAATCATGCTATTTTCCATTTTTCTGGGAATGAACACATATGTAGGAATGTACAACTCCATTCAGTTCATCCCTGCCTGCAAAAATGATTGCAGTAGGCACTCTACATTTGCTGAGAAAATGGGAAAAATGTAACCAAAACCCACTTTTTCACCTATGTGAATATCATCCTCGGAATATCAAGGTCCTCCAGCAGTTGTCCATCTAGTTGCCTAGACAACTAGATGGAATCTCTAGGTTCTCCAGTGTGACTCTATGGTCAATTTCTAGTTGAGTTATACTAGAGGACCGAGAGATTCCTACAGAGAGAACAGTGATCAAATAATCAAATCCACAAAAGTTAGACCTGCAATTTGATGGGCTAGCTGTAATTTCATATGTTTCTTCCCCATTTGATGGATTACACAAGTTTCTGCGCATTTGCTAACACTTTTCCCTGCTTCTGGGAATTTTTTGATTGAAAACTCAGTACTGGGGTATAAAAGAAAATTGCAGCGGGTAGGTATGAAACTCTTATAATAGCTTCTTGAGCCACATAGTAAATAACAGTAAAATGGAAACACTAAATTCAAGTAATTAATTTTTCACAGAAGTACTACTGAAAATAGATACTTTCCATGTAAATTGTATATTTATTGATTATATGGGTAAGCATTGAGTGAGGCAAACTAGGTTTCTGTTCCTTTCAAAATCTCCAGATGAAGTGGCCATTCTCCTGAATCTCCTGAAAACAAGCCCTTTTGGATATTGTGGAGTGGTAGCTTTCTCATCACATAATCATTATAAAATTTATTATAATCTTTCCAAAATTATTACAGTATGCATTATGGTTATAAAAACCTGAAGTAAAAAAAAAAAAACAAATCCCATGGAAAGTACTGAGGTCCCACCTCATGCTATCTGAATTTAAATCACACATCTATCTCGAAAGAAAAAAATTCAGTTGAAGCAACTCTCCCAGCTTGTCCAAGCTTGTTCCAAGAAAGAAAGCCAGAAAGGATTTTCATGTTGTCAATACAGGTCAAAGAATAACAAGGCAACATGTCTCAACATGTCAGCCCACTGACTTCAGAAAATCATAGATATTTACAAATTAATAATGACTATATGGAGAACATGAGCAAAATGACAACTTGCTTACTTGTCAGTTCCCCTTCTGCTTATTTGCCAGTCATTGTGTCTAGACCAGAGTTTAGGACCTTTGTCACACTGGGATATACATCAGTATGTATCCTGTATTCTTTTGGAGGGGGCGGGGGGGACTGGAGGTATATTGTATTCAGTTGAGATTCATACTGACCCCATCACACCCGATTCTTACAGTTTAAAAATACAAATCCTCCAAATCTGTTCAAATGCCTCCCTATATCAATTTTTTTTTTAAAAAATCCTAATATTGCACAGTATAATAACCTGGAAGTCTTGAACTACCATTCTCATGATATTTCCGCTGATGGAATGTATACTTATTTTCCGATCACACCTAAAAACAGTGCCTCAGAACTGTATTAAATAAGAACTGTATTAAATAAGAATACAATTAGAATCCCATGTGCAATTATTCTGTTTCTGTGACATTTTGCAGACAGATTCCAATTGACAGATTGGGGCAAACATCATGAGATAGGACCCATTCAGAATCACGTTCAAAGAGTCTCAAATATGGAGTAAAACACAATGTGATAAGGTCCTTATGAAAGTTAGCATTGTAGATGACAATTCCTAAAGTACCCCAGCCTTAGTAGTCATGCTGGTTGGATTAAGGCAGTGGTTCTCAACCTGGGGTCCCCAGATGTTTTTGGCCTACAACTCCCAGAAATCCCAGTCAGTTTACCAGCTGTTAGGATTTCTGGGAGTTGAAGGCCAAAAACATCTGGGGACCCCAGGTTGAGAACCACTGGATTAAGGAAACTATAGTTCAAAACAACATTTTCCACTATCTGGCCTAGGGTGCTCTCATTCTGTTCATAAAGAAAAATTATTTACCATATTTATAGCCCGCCTTCTCACCCTGAAGGGAACTCAGAGTAACTTTACACGTAGGCAAAAACTCAATGGCATAAAAATAACATACAATTAAAATAAACATTTACATTAAAACCAACGAATTAAAATACCTAAAACATTACACCAATAATTAAACCCACACAGTCCATGATTGTAATCCAGAGCCATTCCAGTTGTCATTGCACGTATTTTGTATCCATTTTTTACACTACAATTACAATCCCAAGGCTTGGTCCCAGAGCCATGTTTTTACTTTCTTTCTGAAGGCCAGGAGGGAAGGGGATGATCTAATCTCACTGGGGGAGGGAGTTCCACAGCCGAGGGGCCACCACTGAGAAGGCCCTGTCTCTAGTCTCCACCAGTCATGCCTGCGAAGGAGGTGGGACCAAGAGCAGGGTCTCCTAGAAGATCTTAATCTCCGAGGTGGATCACAGAAGGAGATACATTTGGACAGATAAGATGGGCTGGAACCATTTGGGACTTTATACACTAAAGTCAGCACTTTGAATTGTGCTTGGGAACAGACTGGTAGCCGGTGGAGCTGACATAACAAGGGAGTTGTATGCTCCCTATATGCTATTCCAGTGAGGAGTGTGGCTGCCACCTGTTGGACCACTTAAAGCTTTTGAACAGTCTTCAAAGGCAATCCCATGTAGACTGTGTTGCAGTAGTCTATTTAGGATGTAACAAAAGCATGGACCACTGTGGCCAAGTCTGACTTCTTCAGGTTCTCTGAATAAGACCCAGCATGGGGTTGAAGTTAGAAGCACCCCCCTCCTCACTACCTTCCAGAGTCTAGCCCCTACTCACTAAATAAGGAAAGTGATAGTTAAGCCACAGTTGAGCATAAAACTTGCTAAGTGATGGATGAGTATAAGTCCATGAGTGGTGAAGAAACATAATAATTTACAGGTGCATTCATTCTCTTATTTGGCATGATCCAACAGATCAGAAGATTTGGACTTATCCAAGGAGTTCCACAAGTTCTTCTGAAAGTAGTGAGAAAATAGAGCTGCAGGCATGACTGCAATAAGCACCTTTCACCTGAACACCGCCTCAAAAAAAACCAAACATGCTAATTCTGAATTTTCCAGGAAAAAAAGTAAAGGGGGGGCAGGCTACTGCTCTCACGTTTGGGATCTTTTCTTATGGTGACAATTTCATGCTGAGGGAATGTTTTCTTCAGCATTTAACATCACCCCTCAAGTCAACCGCATGCTCAACTGTATTTCAAGAGTTTTTAATAAATGCTGCCCTTCCTGTAACTACTGGAAGTCATTACCTCTGCTAAGCGATCTCCCAATGCTTTTATCATTATGATGTTGTAGTCATCAGACTGTTTCTCATACTCCTTGCACAGTTCATCTACTCCAAAGCATGCAACAGCAAACAGGCCCAAATAATCAGGAATTCCAGATTTCAGAGGGCATGTAAAATCAGACAAACAATAATAGGGGTCTGTGGAAGCAGAGTCTTTCTCAGCCTGAAAGAATAAATGGAGCACAGAATTACATTAAAAAGAATTCTTATTGACAAGGCTTCAGTATAATATAGAACATTTACAGTTTTCCTTCCATGGGGATATATATGATCACATTTTTAAAATGGAAAAAGTACCTGGTATAGAGGTATACAATTTTTCAGCTTCAGAGCTATTTAATTTTAGCAGTCATGTTTAGGTAATTACCATGCCCACCTTAATTTATGCTATATATTTTAAGCTGTTACTTGAATTTGCTTCCTTCTGTTCAAACAGAAACTTCAAAACTAAAGCTAGGAGCACTGGGCTAAGTTTGCACTCCTAAACACAGTTTATCCACAAATAAACACAACATGCAACAGCAATTATTACAACTAGATATGAGTATAACTGTACTTTAAAAGATATAGGTTGGTCTCAAGAAGAAATTACAATGAGCCCTAGGAATGCACAAGGGTTTGGTAGACCCCATGGTGGGACTAGAATCCATAGGTGCATTTGCAATGGCATTGTAAAATTGTGTTCCTTATATAAAATGGCACAATCAAGGTTTGTTTTTTGGATGAAAAAAATGTTTTCAAGCCATGGATGCTTGAATGCATGCATTTGGAGGGCTGACAATACAGAGAAAAACAAGGAGCCACCAACTAAACTAAATGGGAACTTACCTACTAAACTAAAACCAAAAATATCTCTGTACTGTATTTCATATGATATCTAGATGTGAAATGTTAATTCAAGTGTTTCACATTTAATGAACCAGAAAAGTAGAGTGGAATTTGTTGGTGTTTATTACTTATGCAATGATGCATGTAGCAACATTACGTCGCCTCTTGCATAATGTAAAATAAATAAATATGTGAAAAGAAGGTTTACACATTACCTGTTGTCTTAAGCCATAGAATTTAGCTACTGGCTCTGAAGATTCCACATCATCGTCAGTGTCATATAAATAAATATCATCCTGGACACTCCGTGCTGGCCAAAATCCAACTAGACCTTTGGCTGTCAGTTTTTTTTCTGCAATCAAAATTCTCAGCAAGTTCTGAGCTTCATTGTAGACCTTTTTTGCCTCTTCCCCTAATAAATGTAAGAATGCATTGAGAGTCAAAGCTATGTCCCAACAAAGCTTTAAAAAAGATTGTCTATTTCTGTTTTTCCCCACTACCGTGTTCCCCCTCTACTTCACGGTTCACTTTTAGCGGACTTGATATTTCATGGGTTTTAGAAAATATTAATAAAAATATTAAATATTAAATATTTACATCCAGTGGAGGCCAGGGACCCCGTAAGTGCAGCAATAATTAAAATGAAGAACAATTTTAACAAATATAAACTAATTAGTATTTCAATCAGAAGTGTGGGCCTGCTTTTGGCTGATGAGATAGGATGTTGTTGTTTTTGTTGTGTGCTTTCAAGTCATTTCAGACTCAGGTTGACCCTGAGCGAGGGCCGGGTAAATGATCTTGGAGGGCCCATGGGCCTTAGTTGGGGGACCCCTGCCCTAGAGCAATGGTTCTCAACCTGTGGATGCCCAGATGTTTTGGCCTTCAACTGTCAAAAATCCTAAAAGCTGGTAAACTGGTTGGGATTTCTGGGAGTTGTGGGCCAAAACATCTGGGGATCCACAGGTTGAGAACCATTGCCCAAGAGCCAACAGTGATGAATGCTGGGAATTGTAGTCCAAGAACATCTGGTTGATTGCATGATTAGATCTATAGTTATAAGACTGCAACAAACCCAAAACATTTATAGAGTAAGAATTCTCAGCCCTGGAGTGTGGTGGAGGCTCCTTCTTTGGAGGCTTTTAAACAGAGGCTGGAATGCCATTGGTCAGGGGTGCTTTGAATGCAATATTCCTGCTTCTTGGCAGGGGGTTGGACTGGATGACATGTGCAGCTTAGGAAGGGGCATTAAGAATTCTCTGTTCTAGTGCTTCTCTAACTATAAATCCCAGAATCCTATTTGTTATAGTCACAATGGAACACAGAGGTATAACTATGTAGAATGAAAGGACCCCAGACATGTGGCTCTTCACAAGAATTTTATAACACATTATTCAAAAAAATTAATCTACAATTGCCAAAAATGAATAGAGAGAGGTGAATTAGCTGGTAACTCTTTTGTCAACTACTAATGGACAGTTATGTTAGATTAGCATTTTCTTTTTCTCTTATTTACACTATTAGTTCCACTTTGTGCATATTCACACAATCTGATGATGCTTTAAATTATCCTTGATCTCAATTTATAGGTTACCCACTACAAAACTTCAATGGCTACTCACCCACAGTTTTATCATTGAAGATTTTAGGAAATCCCCTGTTGGGGTATCTGCCTCGAAGCTGCCAGACATCAAAAAAGGGCTTCCAATCAATGTATTTCACCAGCTTTTGCAAGTCATAATCTTCAAAGACCCTGGTGCCGAGGAACTGTGGTTTAACTGCAGAAACACAATGAGAAGATTTTTGCAGCTTAGGACATACTCGGTAGGCTATACCTATCTCTGTTACACAGCACATACCATTTTATTATATTCTTATAGTGTTATTGAGTCTCATTACTGTCACCTCATGCTAAAGGTCTCTTACAAACACTGCTTCAGACAGACTGGCCCAGAAAAGTCTGCTTCTTGAAGAGATAAGGGAAAAGAGTGCAAGGAATACCTGATGAGTTCAAGTTACCACACAGCCAGAGGATGCAGATTTCTCTTCTCTTACTTCAATAGAATTTTTTCAAATTTTACTTAGTTAGATATAATACTGTAGTGCCTGGCTAGAAACAAGATAGCACCCACTTTGCACTGCATACCCAGAAGCGAACAGAACAAGGACTTGACCTTCACTTGCGCTCCGGCAATGAGATGATGTCCTCTATCAGACTCAAGGGCATGCAAGAAATACAACTCTAGCCTTCGTCAGAGAAAACAGCTTCAACTGACATTAGCAAACACAACATTCCCATGCATCTTTGTGAAGAAAGGTACCATTTTTATTTCTCTAGCTTTCTGTGTTGTAGGAGCATGTGTTTTCTCAGTTAAATAAAATTGTACTCTTAATAGAAGCTGACACTCAGTCACCCTGTTAGATATCTATGCCAAAGCAGGCATTTTATAATATAATATTAATATAATATAATATAATATAATATCAGAAGAGTGGGGCTTTGTATATTTGGGATATGAATATTGTAGCTGAAGCAACTAAATAACAATTTACTTCATTTTGTCGAGTGACTACCTAGAATATTGGAGTAGAGAAAAGCAACTGAAGAATGTTATATAAATACTGAGGTTTCTTCTGTAGCATGAAATTGTAAATATTTGTATCTCTTTTCATACCAGGGCAAACGTTAGAAAAATAGAAGAGGAATATACAATAGTAACTAGAGGACACAAATGATTTCCACACCACTCTGTTTCCTCTGAGGTCAACAGATCTGTGATTTCATGAAACACAAGTATTTTTAAAGGTAAATTAACCTGGTTTGCAGTCATTTAGCCAGTCAAAGGAGAAGCCCTTGCTCCTTGCTTGCTGTAATGATAAATATTTTCTTTCCTGCATGGGAAAAAAACAGAAGTTCAGTTCTGAATCAATACATTTTTTTGTTTTTGTATTGGTATGAAAGGACATGAAGGACACGGAACTAGGGATAATAAAGCACAGAGATAATGGGGTAATAAACTAGGGATAATAAAGCACAATTGACCATAAGACAGAGTCTAAAATCTGTATTATAGCAATAGGTCAAGCAAGGAAAAATATGAAAATCTCTTTGCAAGTTTCAAAACCTTCATCTGGCAAATACACTGGGAAAAAGCAGACAGCATAAAATATGGATTAAAATCTTGAGACACCTTTGTCATGTCCAAACCATCCCCTGCCTGTATTTACCTGTATACTCGAGTATAAGCCAACCCAAATATAAGTTGAGGCACCTAATTTTATCACAAAAAACTTGGAAAACTTATTAACTCAAGTATAAGCTGAGGGAGGGAAATACAGAAACTACAGGTAAATTTCAAAATAAAAATAGATACCAATAAAATTACATTAATTGAAGCATCAGTAGGTTAAATGTTTTTGAACATTTACATAAAACTGTAGTTTAAGATAAGACTGTCCAACTCTTAAACATCTTAACTTGATGACATTTGTCATTTTCACATTTTTGCAAGGAGATTTCAATGCCTTTAGTTATATTGGTTAAGTATTGTTGAAAAAGATCTTACAGCAATATTAATTTAATGCTCTTGACATGAGTTCTACTTACTTTGAGAGAGTCATAGTGATCCTGCCTAATGTCTTCATACTCTTCTTGTATTTCTTCAAAGAAGTCATCCTTTACATTTTCATCCAAAAGCTGAGAGCACTGAAACAAACACAGAATGTTCTAAATTTAATTTCAGTCTTAACCTCTCTGTATGTGTCAACTTGTTAAATTCCCTCATGAATGACAAAGATCTGTAAGAATCTGTATAATAATCTTTTAAAAATATTTTAATATGCAGTTGAGTGGTAGTGGGGAGCAATAGGCACACAACTTCTTTTCGGGATTTTTTATGCAACCTCAAAACTACCTATCTGAGGCTAACAGATGCAAGTCTTCAAAATGAACATATAAATGATTTCAGTCTGGAAAGAGGAGAAAAGTGGAGGAGAGTGAGACTAAACATTTCTTAAACTTTATATATTACAATCACAGTAAAAATTACAAATACAATGCCACTTGAGTGTTATTCTCAGTATAAACATTTACATATGGCTATTTATTTGGATTGTTGTTGTTATGTGCTATCAAGTTGGTTCTAATTTACACAGAGTTTATCATAGGGTTTACTTGCCAAGATTTATTCAGAAGACATTTGCAACTGATTTGCTGAGAGAGCATGACTTCTCCACTAGTACAGTAGAGTCTCACTTATCCAACCTTCGCTTATTCAATGTTCTGTATTATCCAACACAATCTGCCTTCTGCACAGATCCATAGCTGTTTCAATACATTGCAATGTTTTGGTGCTAAATTCATAAATACAGTAATTACTACATAATGTTACCATGTATTTAACTGCTTTTTCTGTTGATCTGTCGTAAAACATGATGTTTTGGTGCTTAATTTCTAAAATCATAATGTAATTTGACATTTAATAGGCTTTTCCTTAATCCCTCCTTATTATCCAACATTTTCACTTATCCAACATTCTGCCGGCCCGTTTATGCTGGATAAGCAATACTCTACTGTATTTACTTAAGGAACTTCAGTTGCTATTGCTGAATGCACAAAACTGAGAAAATATTTAAAATATATAGAAATAGCAAGCACCCCTTTAAATTCTAGTGACAAAACATTTGGGGTGCTTATGTTGCTCCTTATGTTTGTAATAAGGAGCAGTCTGGAAATGCAAGAGCTGAAAGACTAGCAAAGCAAATGCAATATATTTTCATCTACAGTCAAGCCATATCTGAAATTTCTATTATTCATTAATCAAGCTGTTCTAGTCAGCTTTAATTAAGCCCCTGACTGCATTAAACATCCAAAAGCATGGTTCCAAACAGAAATATGTACTGCAACATAAAAAGGTCTTTGCAAAGATAATGCTTACAATACTTTATATTTCATTAGATACATGATGACCATGCTGCAGTGCTTTTAGACATTAACAAAATAATTTGAGAATTATACTACTGGTAAAGAATTAACAGCTAGCATATATGGCATAACTCAAGGGTACCTGCGGATTTTTGCACATCAATTATTAAGTTGTGGGCAATAGTTAACCAGGTGAGTGTGATGCCAGCAAGTAAGAATAAAATGGGATAATCTTTTAAATCCATGTACTTGCTAGCATAATACTCCTTTGTTCTGTATGAGCCAAATAATGGTGGCTGCATTACAATAAAGCACTAGGCGTATTGGTGGAAAGCAGCAACAATTTCACAGTTTATGTCTCAGAGAAAGATCATTAACAAAGAAGCCTAAAATGATTTATTCATTCACAATATACATAGGACTTACAGAACAGCTGCTTTTCACAGTTGCAAATATATTTTAGTGATTTTTATTTTTTTTCTTTGTAAGTAACTTTGAACAATCCCCCTTTTTGAAGGGAAAACAAAAGCATAAATTTCTTGACAGAATAAATGAAAATATTTCACAGATGATTACTGCAATCATTCAACCTCCTAAAATAGATAATATAGGAAAGCTCCAATTTCCATCCGAGATGTGTACCTCACGGGAAAGCAACAGCAGGCTTCTCTTTATGTGGCATTGCTAAATCTGTAAAACATATAAATTTGATCTCTGTACTGAATGGGACAAACATGGGGAACAGGGGGTGGGATATGAAGGAATCCAGAAGCATATTTGAGACTAAATGATTTATTTTAACATGAGCTTTTGGAGTATCAATGTACTTCTTCAAGAACATTGCTGAATTTCTCAACCCTGCTTCCTTCTACTTATGCTGGAACAGACTAACGTGGTTATCTATTTTAAAACTTTGAAATCTACTAAATGAGACAATAGTCTAATTATGTTAAAGGTTAGGCCAAAGATACACATAATCCCCAACTTACAACCACCACACTCTTTGATGCATCCAGGACATGAATGACAGGAGCACTGTATCGTGGAGCAATTTTCACAGCTGTGTGTGTTCTGAAATGACAAAGGGGACACAGAAGGCAACAACAGTATGGAACTCATTACCATGGCATTGAGTTGCTGATGTGCAAACATTTTTATGACTCAATGAGAAAACAATAAAGAAAACTGCATAAAGTTCTCCAAGCTCATTTTCCTTTCATGGATATTACAGCCCATCTGCAGTTCATAAAAAGGCAAAAGAGCACATCCCATATTATTTTACTACGGTGTGGATTCCCAGTGGTTTTCAGAGAGTTCACTAATCCTTAAAGTGAAATCATGACATGTCAATATTTAGTGACAAAGATTGTCACAATTATTTCTTTATTAGTGACATTTATTTCCTTCAATGTGATCAAAGCAACACACACAACTTACCTGCTAATATAACCTCATAATGTGCCATATAACCTAGTAGTACCTATAGACTGCAGAATGGAGACCATGAGGTATGTGATATTATTTCCTATTGGGTTGTTGTAGGTTTTTAAGGCTGTATGACCATGTTCTAGAAGCATTCTCTCCTGATGTTTCAAACCTCACAACCTCAGAGGATGCTTGCCACAGATTCAGGTGAAACATCAGGAGAGAATGCTTTTAGAACATGGCCATTCAGCCCAAAAAACCTACAACAACCAGTGATTCCAGCCATGAAAGCCTTCAACAATACATTATTTCCTTCTTTCCATATTGTAGCAGCATAAGGAAAATGCCCAATTACATTTCAAATTTGGAAGCCTGCCATGTTTGTTCAGAAATGTAAACAAAGAAATAGAAGCTGGCTGGAGATTGCCCTATGAATCAGTACATTGGATGGCATATGGAACAGGCAGCGGACAGACTTCTAAATGCACATTGGTTACTTGGTAAAGATCTGTACTGTACTCGACAAAAAGATAAGTTTTAGAGCTTTTGATAACCGGTGTACTAAGTGAGGATCAGGAAAAAATAAAAGCCATCAATTAGGCTGCTATTCGGCATCTCTCCAATACAAAAAAGAAGGCAATAATGTTGTCTTCCAGCTATGCTGTTCCTAACACAGCCCTTTCAGGTTGTCCTACAATGCAAATTTATGTTGATATTAGTAAGATGGACATGTAGAGAGTACTAAGAACAGATATGTGCTTAAGCAGTTACAACTGATATATAGCCAATATAGATTAATATAAGATAGGAGGTATGCAATATACTATAAAGGATTAGAATGAAGCCTTACATGGAATGTTATGGAATGTAATAAAACTAAAATATCCAACCCCTCTTCCTTAGGAAAATGAATATGTACCGTATATATCAATCTACACATACTTGTAATAAATCACCTAAAAAAATTTCATGTAAGTATCATGGAACATGAAAGATGTTTAAAGTGGAATTAGTATTTGACATTAGCCTGGCCTGATACTATCTGATAATCTGGTCAGATTATTTATTTACTTTGTTTTATATATCCCACCTTCTCTCCCTCATTGAGGGACTTAGGGTGGCCAACATATGGCAGTCATTGGATGCCATTCAACATACATCACATCGTAGTCAAAATACAAATCAATAAATACATATAAAAATTAATCCAGCTAATGTAAAAACAATAATACAGGATATGTTATTTGAACTGGATTATCTGAGTCTCCACTGCCATATAATTTGGGATAAGGAGATAATATAGGATCAGATCCTGGGATACAAGGATAGTGTAGAAAGGGCCTGAATCTCTTAGAAACATTAACTTCAGCCCACTGTAGATTAAAGTGATGCTTTTGCTCATTTATGGCATTTTTCATTTTTTGGTACCTCCAATATCACTTAGGAAGCGAACATGTTTAAAAACCACCCTCCCACTGTAGAGCACAAGCTAGTGTTTCTGAGATGCTGAGTGGGAGGGAAAATTTATGCATACCTATTCTAAGCCAGCATCTTCATCTGTCACATTTCTCTAAAAAAAATCCCTTCTGACAACATTTTCCCTCTAGAATAACCTTCCTTTCAGTACTGTAAATATATTCCCTTAGGGCTTTGATGGATATATAACATAGCTCAGCTCCATATTGCTCTTGAGAGAGCTTTCTCAAGCAGTCTGTCAGGTCTTCTGAGAATCCTGGGGTGCTAGTTGTCATTTAAAAAAAAAAAACCAAAACCATGCCATGATTTGTTATACAGAGAAAAATCTGACTACTAGATAGCAAAAACTACCAGCATAATTTTCCTGACAATGAGCTATGAACTCTCATCTACAAATTTCTGTGCAAACTGTGTCCTAACTGGAAGGAACTGTTCTGTATCTTTGTAACAGGTAAATTTGGAATTCAAATTTAAGCAACATTTTACTCTGGGGTGTTGTGTGGTTTTCGGGCTCTATGGCCATTTTCTAGCAGCATTTTCTCCTGATGTTTCACCTGCATCTATAGCTGGCATCTTCAGAAGATCTGCTGCTAGAACACGGCCTTACAGCCTGAAAAACACACAACACTTCAGTGATTCCGGTCGTGAAAGCCTTCGACAAAACATTTTTCGAATTCAACAACACAAACTATTAAATTGATATAATTACACATCTTATGTATTTTATGTTTAGATGTACAGCTTCTACAAAATGCATATAATGTTTCCCATTTTCTTACAGTTTCCCACTCCATCAGTCACCCATTATAAAGTTAGAAAAATCCACTGTATAAATCTCATATTTATCTATTTGTAAGGCTTATATGCCACTTAATATACTAAAATCTCCATAGGAATTCCCACAAGTCCTTTCCCCTGAAACTTAGACATCAATTGAAACATTGTATTTTTGCACTTTGTAATTTCTATACTTTGTAATTTTGTTAGTATCATATTACTCAATGGTCCTAGTATAGGTATACCCAGATGAATTTTTAAACATGTGTCAGGTAAACTAATGTAAATGCTAATATATTTTAACATTTAAATATATATAATAACATCTAAAATTATATTTGAACAGCTAAAAGTACCCCCATTGCCCAAAGGAATGTTGGTCAGTGTAGAATGAACAAGAGAAGGCATTTTCGGTGGCTGCTCCCAAACTGTGGGACACCCTCCCAAGAGAGATCAGAGTGCCCCATCCCTGCTGGGCTTCTGCAAGAAGGTCAAGACCTTTCTCTGCCAGCAGGCATTTGGGGAAGGATAAGGGGCACACTGCTGGGGAGGTTGTGAGTGGATTTGGGGGGAGGGCACTGTGTGTTTTAAAATGCATTTTAAATTTTATTTATTATATCTTAATTGTATTTTAATCTAATACACAGGGTACTGTTTAATTTTTTAAAATTTTCATATTTTCTTTATTTTAAATTGATAAACAACTCAGGGCGGTTACAACTCAGGTTGGTTGTAAGCACCCTGAGTCCCTCTTCAGGGATGAAAAGATAGGATATAAATCCTTGAAATAAATAAATAAATAAATAAATAAATAAATAAATAAAAGTGTGTGGTTGTTAGCTGCCTTGAGTCTCTTTGGAGAGAAAGACTGGGTATAAATAAAGTAAAAAAAGAAAATAAAGGATAATGGGTATTCTACAACAGTCAACTACCTAGAGCTTTGAATCCTACCTTGGGAGAAAGGCAGGGCAGAAATTCAATACATAAAATAAATGCATTTTGAATAGCTGACAGAGAGAAGATACGTTATGAAATTGTAGCATCTGTTGCCATACTTCCTGTTTTTCAAAAGATTCTAATGACATTTTGGCAATCATGCAATGTTTCTGGATTGTATTTTTCTTTTCTGTACTATTCTGAAGTCTTTTGCTCCTACCAAAAGCTAAACTTTAAAAAAATACTGATACATTGGGTCATCATGCCTGATGACCCAATGATTACTGACGTGGGAATATGTGACATGTTGCTAAAACCCAGGAATGTTGTTTACATCCCTTCAGATGGCGACATAAAACAATATCTAGTAGGTTGGACCTTTGTGAAAGCTACAAAATTTGATTCTGTGGTAAATAATATCCAGACTGCTATGGTAAGGGTTGTTGCAAATAAAAAAAAAAACACAAACTAATAGTGGATTAAGCAATTATATTTTTAAAAACTCATACCAAAGAAGACCATATTAAATAAACCAGTGATATATAGGATTTCAAACAACATTAATAACCAAGAACTGCACCCAATCTTAACATGATAAAAAGAAACAGAAAGAAGTAAAAGTTTGCATGTATATAAACTGTAGGATAACTGGTGTGGGCGTTTTTTCCTCTTCCACTGACAGAGGAATGAAATAAGCTGTGCCATGCATGTATAAAAGCTTTTCCTCTGCCATGTGGGCAAGGTAAAAACAAAATATAAGTTCTCAAGCAGAAGCAGGTAAATTAGAGTACTCACAATACTTCCTTACTGTCATCACCTCACAGAAAGCTCTAACAGCCTCTGGTCTCCCTCCTCCCCTTCCTGTATGGGCATCTTTCTTTTTTATGTTCCCTCAGTCCCACACTTTTCTCTCCTTTTCCCTCTCACACACACACCTTCCCAAGCACCCAGTTGCTGTTTATCAACAAGCCTTGATCCAGGGCTTGCGTCTCTTTCCACAATAAAAGGAGACCCAGGGTGGGATTCTCTTGCATGGGTCATGGGAACTGTGGAGTTATTGCATTGGTCCTCTCAAGTAGAATAATTGGGGACATTTCCTATGTCATTTTCTAAAAGAATAATAATTCCAATAGCGTAATTCTCACAAACAAACAATACAATACAATGCCTACAATAATAAAACATGTGGAGGGGGGAATCACTTGTTTTACCTCTTTCTGTGTCTCTTCCACCAGTGCAGAGGTGGAAAGGGGAGAGGAGAGAGGAGATGGCATGAATTCAACTACAGCAACAAGATAGAATGGGTTTTTAATATAGCTGGTTTTATTATTGTTTTACTATGTATTGTTGTTTTTATAAATTGTTAGAAATTTAGCTTTGTGTTGCTCAATTTACATGTATTTAAGTTTGTATTGTCCTAGGTTTGAATGGCATTGAATTGGTGCCAACTGTTAGCCACTCTGAGTCCCTCAATGGGAAGAGGGTAGGGTATAAATAAAGTAAATAAAATCAATCAATATTTAGGATTGAATATAGTTGGTTTCCATTAATGTCTGTATTCTATGTTTGGAGTAGCAGAATCTAGCCTAATGTTTTGCCTTTGCTCTCATGTGTCTTCAAGTCAATTGCAATTTATGGAAACCCTATGTTGACCTATCTTGGAGCTTTCATAGCATGATACTGTATACTCAGAGGGGATTTGCCATGAACTTCCTCTGAGGCTGAAAGGGAGTGATTTGCCCAAGGTCACCCAGTGGGTTTTCACTGCAGATTCCTATCTGAAACTCAAACATCTACGCCACACTGGCTTCCTATCTGCCTTGCTTTGCTTATTACCTATATGGGTTGTTGAAATTAATATTGTTTGAAATACTATATCTTTTGTATAAGGCATTTATCTACAATAGTCTTGTTTGGCAGGAGTTCCTTTCTTTAAGATACTTCCTTCATGGACTGGCTAATGATACAAAAGATACCACAGAATATTTAAAAAATTATATTAGAGAATGTTTAGGGAATAAAACCTTCCATATTTACATTGATTCCTTCCCAGGGAACATCAGAAGGAATCCGACTTACTTGGATGTAGTTGCTCCTCCAATAAGCAAAGGAATCTTTATTTCTAATCTCTCCATTTCCTTGGCAACAAAAATCATCTCATCCAAAGAGGGAGTGATGAGGCCTGACAGGCCAATGATATCTATTAAACATAAATAGTTCAAAATATTTATATCCACAAGATTTTACACATTAGAAGGAAAATGCCAGCTGTGCAATGAACTAATATATTTTAATCTATATCAAACTTCTCCCACCCAGTGCTGGAATATAATTTCCATAATCCTCAACCATAAAAGAAAAGATTGGCGGGAGACTGATGTAGGTATTTCAACAAACATTACATTAAAATAGCACTAGGCACGAGAATAACCTATGAAATAAGTATCAACAGAATACAAGACCCAGGATGACCTTTGAGTACTAACATTGCTCATCTTTCAGTACCAGGAAAGAAAATGTTAATTCTCCTAGGTTTTTAATATAGTATAAATTTATTGTAATTTAATTTTGATCTTGTTCATGTTTTGATACACCACTCTGGGAATTTTCATAAAAGGTGCTATTTCAATATTTTCAATCAAGAAAATACAGTTGTAGGTTGGGATGTTAAGTGATTCAGTACATCTCTGAATTAAGATACATTAAGGATGAAGAAATATCCACGTACTCCAATAGAATAAAGATTATCTAGATCAAAATAATAATCTTTATTTAAACTCACTTCATCCTTATTTTCCTGATAATACTTGTGGCATTTTAATCACTCCAGTGTCTGAAAACCTGATACAGCACAAATTTATCACCTGAGAACATTTCATTTTTTTTTTTTTTTTGGAGATCAGTCAGCATGAGCCTTCAAAGATATGAACTCAATATCATAGTGACAAAATACTTTTAAAAATACTTATACAGATGGAAACTCCTCCTACCTGCTTTGTTTTCAAGAGCAGATCTCAGTATCTTGTCACACGGTGTCATGACTCCCAAATCAATAACCCTAAGGAGAAAATGCACTTTGTTTGTCATCATACATATGTACATCATACATATAAAGCCAATTCTATTATAGTGAAGAACAGTTACTCTTTCACAGAAGTCCAAGTGAACAGAATGTGGTTCTCTCATGCACCAGTCTACTGTATTTTAAACAAAATCTTGCCCATGTGACCTCTGTGGCACTTTCTGGCACTAGTATGAGTTCCAATATATTATGGGGTAAACAAAGGTCTTACATCCATAGGTGTGTGTGAATCTACTGAGTTCTATCCAAGTACCAAATGGAATAAAGTGAAATTATAAAAGATAAAATAAAATTATTGTAGTATGGGTATTTCTTGAGAGCTAGCTAGTCCAGTGTCCTAGCAATGAAAGAAGTTTGATTTATCCTCAAAGGGAGAGGCCAGCTGACCACCAGAGAATGTCACTTTTGTGGTGCTGCATTATGACTCACTAAAAATTAGTATGGCACATGATCAACAAAGTTGTTGCAGTGTTTTTTTTCTTGTTTACCATTTGTATAAGAAAGAGGTAAAGTGGCTGGGGTTTAGGGACACCGTTTACAGGTGACAGCGTCACAGAATAGCTACCTTGTGATTCTAGGTCTAAGTGGATTTTACTACAAAGCATATTTAGGAGACAAAATTAATGTTTTCCAGTGAATGAGTTAACTGAATTTGCAGATCTCAACCTTTCTTAAGCACCTCTTTCTCTTAAAAAAAATCTACTTTTTTCATTTTTACCACACCTGTTTGAGACACACGTCTAACATGCATTTGAACCTGATAACATGTCCAGGGACCAATTCCCCTCTGAAAGGTAGCCGATGTAAACATCAGTTTGGTACTAGGAAATTAATTCCTTCCACTCAAAAGACCACATTGTCAATCCATCTGGTAAAATTTATACAGCAAATACATTGCCCACTCAGAGAAGATAAGTCTCACAATAAAGAACAATAATGTAAGGGGAAAGGAGACAGCAGAACGCACTAGGTTTAGTTTTGTTACCTGAAATTATTGCATCCTAGGACAACTCCCACAATATTCTTGCCAATATCATGGACATCACCTTTCACGGTAGCTAACACAATTGTGCCATGGTAAGGGTCCTGCAAGAATATTATATTCAGGATTTATGAAAACCTGAGGAACTTACAGAACATGAAGAAGGTCAACGGGAATGAAAAAGGACAAAATGCATGGTAATTATGGTTATGTATAATTTTTATAAGAATAATAAAAACATTTAAAAAGATAAATGTTTAGGTCAGAGGAAAAGCACCACAGCTTCCAGGGCAGTAGTTGTCTTTGGGTAAGTGGAATGCAGACATCCTCAAGTCCTATGGTGTGGAACAATGGGAGATTTCTTAAAAAAAAAAATCCCACTAACTACTGTGATTCCAAAAGAGATGTAGCAGGTAGAAGGGCAAATGGACTGAAGTGGTGGGATTGTTCCTTTAAGGACCACCTGTCTACTTTCAGCACCAAAGAAGTGACAGGTGATATAATGCTAAAGGAAAAGTAGCAGCCAATCCAGTAAGACTTTTGCATCTAGGGAGGACGGGCAATCCTTTTCTAAAACCTGGAACAGTCCACTCTTCTCCTAACTAATGACAGGTCTAACCCCCAAGACACCAAGGTTGAATGGAAGGGTATATTCTGTTCTTCTGGGTGCTTTGTACTCTTTACAGTCTAGCTAGCTCACCTTGCTTGGCGGTAAGCATTTTGCATAGACACTCCTTTAAAAAAAAAGGCTAGAGGTAAAGTCAAATTATGCACTGATAATAGTTTGTAAGAATCAACCATTTCCCAAATCCATAAAAGAATGATACTCTTATAGGGTTAACTAAACTGTACAAAATACACTGTGCAACATATTGAAGCTTCATTGGCCATTTTCATCAGGAAAATACGTTAATCATACAGGAGACAAAAAGTGATGTGATAGTCATGCTAGAGTCATAGGCCTGCATTTTGTCTCAGATGTTACTTAATATCTCAGATAACGTGGTATTGGAACACTATAGACAATATCCCCAGACTCTCCTAGTTATATGAGAGACATTCCTGACCATTCACAACTTCCCAGATAACACATCTAGGTTTTAAATTGGAAGAGAAACAATGGAATGTAATCTGGAAAACCCAAGCGTATAAATCAATTTCGACACAACTGAGAAAAAAAATACTTTGAAAATGATGCATAGATGGTGCAATTATCCACTTATTTATTTATTTATGACATTTATATGCTGCCTTTCTCACCCCAAAGGGAACTCAGAGCGGAATTAAATTCCTTAAACTACGCAGAATTAATAATGGAATTTCCAAAATATGTTAGAGAAAATATAGAGAAATGAGGGATTGAAGCCACACATGGTTAAAGTGTCCAGAAGCATGAAAATTCTGGGATGAAGTTCTATCATGGATAAGGCAAATGATGAAGGAAACATGCACTTCAAGGGAGCTCTACTAAGGATTTCTGTATTTGAAAATAAGAATAGGATTTCTAAACAAAAAATTTATATTATGCATGTTAAGTCAGGTTTTCTCTGCCAAAGACTGCTTGCACCTTACCAAACTATAAATTCCATAATTTCATAATATGTGTCTGCTTGTGTGTGTGTTGATCATGAAGAGTGGGGGGGAAAGCCAGGATATATTTATGGGCAACTCTTTTATTCTTCACTACAGTATCACCATCCCTAGCTTTGTCTGTGATTGGCACAAATCTGGGTTGAAAACAAATGGCACTGCACCATGATTTGTAATTTGAGCCTACTGCTCTAACCCCTTTATTGTTTCATTTTGTGTATATATGTGTTGCCTGAGAAGTACTGCATGTAGTGTAATGGTTATTCTCTTCTGGCTTTCTAAAATGTGGCAATTTCAAGAATGATCATCTGAAGCTTTGCCAAATGACTATGCAGCCTAGAGTCATTCTCCATGAGTGCTGGAAGGCTCACACAGCTAAGGTAGAAAGGCAGGTTCATTTAAAACCATCCAAAAATAATCCATTCCTATAGTGGAGTGGTCAAAAAACACCTGCACAGTGAGGAAACTTCTAAGATAAACAGAATGGGAAGTACTGAAAATGAAGGAAATGCTCCCAACCCCAAAAGCATGCTACAATATTGAAAACAGCATGTATTAGATTTTGCTATGTCTCCCACATAAAAACAATGAGCTTTCAAGCATTAAATAAATTGGAGCACTCCAATGCTGGGAACAAAACCAAATAGCTTTCCTTTTCAATCCTGGCACAAGTCTGCAAGCACAACCATTTACTCTAAAAAATAACAACCAGGCTTTTTAATGTTCTGGCACTCTGGAGAGAAACCACACCAGGAGATATGTATTTGACTTTAAGACAGAATGGCACAAGCTAGCTCATTTTTAATACACATTTGTTAACATCCCTTGTCTCCCTCTCTCTCTCTTTGTTTGCCTGCAAGAGCACTTTGCAGCACACTCCAAGTATTAATAAACTATAATACAGAACCAACATAATGCTGTACATATTCATCTTTTTTATAGACATACACCTTTTAAGTTAAAAAGAAATCATACCATTCCTTGCTATAGGTCTTTTCCTGTAGCCGTGTCTGCATTAGAATATTTCACTCCCTTCCCACATGTCAAAAAAGGCATAACATGCTCAATTTCATTTTAGAACTCAGCCTAGTCTCAATTTGAACTACAAGAACAACTGCTGCTATTTCATTTTCATGCTTGTTAGGAACAAAAAAATGCAGCTACAGCACAGGTTTTATTGCACTCAAGGATTTTTTCCAAAAAAAAAGAGGAACTAAATATCCATTTAGATATGCTTTCCTAAGTGGCTGACATGTAGCTTATATAAAACAGGAACCATTTTGTTCTAGAAAGCATCCACGTGCTGCCATAACTTTGTCTCGCGGATTAGCTTTCAGAGCATATTTTGCCAACCTGAAGCAAAAAAAAGGGGGTGTTGTGATATAAGGCTATGTTTGATCAACATTTGGAAGAAAACTGATCTGCTTCAAACCCCCCAACTGATGAATAGGTCAGGACAATAGATTTTAATCCGAACATGGCTCCTCCTTGTCTAGTAAATGGGCAAATGGGCATGTTTTCACCTTGCCATAAGACAGCAAGATTCTTTATGTCTGTCTCAGGGAGATTTTGCACATTTTCAAGAATGATTTTCTTTTCTTTTCTTTTTTTTGGGGGGGGGGGGTATTTCTTCACTCCGCCCTTTTGTGGTTTGCTCTTCTCCAATGGGGCTACAAAGTGGAGTCCACAACATACAAGTATGAAGAAGGAAATAGTGACTATCAATATGCCAGAACAGCTTGGCTCAATCAAAATCTCATCAATGATGTCCTTTTTCCAAATGGCCATTATCCTTCTCAAAATTTAGTAATGTGGTTTGGGGCCTAAAGAAGTACAAAACATGCTCATGAAATATATCTAGTGTTTACTATGCTGATTCCTATTAATCATAAGCACCGTGAATGCTGAGATGGTCCTACTGAAAGAAGACACTGTGCTTGAACCTATTTTTCTGAAGTACTATACGGACCCCTCAAAATGCATGGTGAAAAACAATGGCATAACAGAATGACTGTCCTACCAATTAAGAACAATGTTTATGTTACAGATCACTGCACAGCAGCGTACACTGTTACCATATATCTATTTTTATTAGCAACTTGTCAAAAAGCCAATTTTACATGCTACCATCAGCTGTTCATTGCTGTGATTAAGAGCCCACAAAAATGGATCAATCTATTCACAGACATTGCTATAAAAGCAACAGAAAAATAACCTGCACACAAAAAATAATTCAAAACAACCAGACATTATAGCATTATAAACTTGCCTCTTCCTCTGTGCTATTGGACATGGCACGCATTTCCTCTCGCTCCTTCTCCATGAAGGGAATGAGATGCCCAACTGCTTTTTTCATAACTCGCGCTGATTTAATCACCTAAAAAGCCAGATGAAGAACTTTTGCAGTTACTCTTTTGCAGTTATTTGAGGGTGCATCAAAAGAAAATGCTTTTCTTTCCATAGGACAATCATAAGCTCCACTCAAGCATTTGATAATCTATTTTAACATAATATGAGAGGAAGAATATAGGCCAATTCTACCCCTCTCAGTTGTCACTCTCCATATTAGGAGTAAAGTTGTTGGCAACTCCAGAAAGAGCCGCCACATGTAAAATTGACTTCTCCTCCATGGACAAGTACAAAAGCTCAGCAATAACACACATGCCAGAGACAATCTCTGATATGCCCAGTTAAAACCGGAGTAGTGGACAGATTATAAAGGAAAATCCTGAGATGGCAGATGGAGTCACTATCATTCACAGTAGACAAGATCAGATGGAGACATATTTAGGCCTGATGTATGGCAAGTGCTTCCTCAAATTTTCATTATCAGACCACAATCAAGAATAAAATTCTTAGTTGAAGAGATTACTGGTCTAACGTGGTATTAATGCCTATGTTATCTATTTATGTATTGCCAAGTGCAGAGGAGGCTTTTGGTCTGTAATTCTAAGATATCCTGCTATGCTTACTTCTAGTTTACCTGGGGAAGAAACATCTTTCCAGCTCCAAAAAGATCACCAACAGTTTTCATGCCATTCATCAGAGGTCCCTCAATTATATGAAGTGGTCTGGTGTATTTTTCTTTGTTTAGTCTAGCTTCCTCTGTGTCCTCAATCACATATTTTTCAATGCCCTGCAAATAAACCACATCAAAAAAAATATAGTGTAGCTATACTAACATTGACAAATTCTTATTATGCATATTACATTAAAAGGGTGGGCCTCAAAAAAATTGAACTATTTGGGCAGAGGAAACTCTTCCTTCAAGTTACAGCCATGAAAGTGAGCATTTTTATGACATATAGCGACCTCAAAGCAAAGCTATCATGGCATTTTCTTGGCAAGGCTTGCTCCATTTCTCTTTGCTTTGCTCTGTTGCTGAGAGTTGACTTGCCCAAGGTCAACTAATAAATTTCCATTTCCAACCTGGGATTCTAATTCAACACTCATGCCACTGCACTATGCTGGCTCTCTCCTTGGACAACTCTTCTCTCAAGAAGGATAAGAAATTATACAACCCATTTCACAATTCTCTTTTTACTGATTTAAAATATTTGGTAATCATATGGTCAAGAAAGAAAGACCTTGTAAAGAAAACATATTTTAGCTTTGTTAAGTAAAGATGAAAATAAGTTCACCTTGACGAGGGCATACTCCAGTCTTTCTTCTACAGAACTATTTCTCCATTCATCAGTCTGTACCACTTTCTTTCCTCCTTCAGCATGTGTCTGAATTGAGATTACAAGTGTTTAATAATCATAATCATCATCATCATCATCATCACCATCACCACCACATCTAACTTTAGGAAAAAGTGTATGCATTTCCCGTGCTTTCTTAAAAACATTCTGGCTGATTCCTCTCAAAGTTGGGGGTTTTATGGTCCAGGACACATAAGACTATACTGCTTATCATTTCCAAGTATGCTTGGGCACCAAACTGAGATCAGTTGGTTCAGAACAGTGGTTATCAATGTATGGACTTGCATGTGCTTTGGACCTGAACTCTCAGGAATCTTGACAATCAGTCATGTTGTCTTGAGGCCTCTGGGAGCTGATGACCAAAACATCTGGATGACCAAAATTTGAAAATCACTGGTTTTGACTATTGCTTGACATTCCACAACAGCTATTACTGTAAAATGGGAGCACAATGCGGTGTGTTTTTCTTTATTTTCTTTTTGGAGTCCATGTTTGGGACTTCTCTTGTGTGTAAGATAACCCCCATATAAAAAGAGTGAACATGCTACAAAAATCAAGTCCAACACATCATGATTCTAAGCTTCCCTGCCCCACTTGTGGCCAGGGCCCTACATTCTGCTCTACCAGCCAACTAAAGAACTAAACTAGACTTTACTCAATGAAGTATATACAACCTAGCTATATCACCTGAAATAATGTGAAAATAGTAATCCAGGGAAGGAAAAAAAAACTCTAAACCTGGCACAATCAGCGATTGGCAATAAGGACATGAACAGAAAACGAATGTTCTCCTATTCCAATATGAGGCATGTCCTCCTAGTCCAAGAAGAGCTTTTAGTTCCACATATTATATTTTGCTCACTTTGAACTTAGAAATATATTGCTGAGTTAATATTTACTTGAATATTGTTTGCCATGGGCATAATTATATAGATGACTGGGTAGAAAATTGATGAATGGATGATACAGTATATATGGTTTTGCATTAGTGTGTTCTGAACTAGAGTCAGCAATGCCACAACAATGTTGATATGTCTATATAACTGCATACATGCACCTCAGCAGCAGTGATGTTATACATAGAAATTTTTGTATACATTTGGGAAGAAAAGACTGCTAGTTTCAAAAAGTCCTTACTTTTAAAACAGGAATGGAATCATACAATTTATCATCATATCATAAATGTTTCAAGGAAAGGAAAATATCTGCTATAAGAAATGAAGAATTGGATTCTTATTTCTGGAAATTTAATTTAAAGTTATCCCTAGTCAGCCAAAGAGTCATTATTTTTTTAAACCTTAACAAATTAACTTGGCTTCAATACAGTTCTTGTTGGCATCAATTTGCTATGTCACATAACAGATCACTAATGAATCAAAACCTTACTGAACTATAATAAATAATTATAAAACTTTATTTATAGTCCACCCCTTCTCCCTGAGGGGGACTCGGGATCCTGCACTTTTAACCTTAAAGAATATGGAGGCTGCCTCTATTTTTTTGTTAATAACTGCCATCAGGTCAGCCTTGGCTTACATCAACACATGAACCTTCCAAAACAGCCTGTCATCAACACTCCTGCAAATTCAGAGTTGTGGCTTCCTTCACTGGGTCTATCTACATGGAGTATGGTCTCCTTATTTCGTACTGCCTCCTCCTTTGCCAAACATTATTACCTCTTCTAGTGAGACTATATGTAGTCTTATAATGCCAGGATAAAGAATCCACTTTTGTTCTATGTTTATACTCTTCACACACACATACACACACACACTCACACACACACACACACAGTCTCTCTTTCTCTCTCACACACAGCTTTCTATCTTACTTCATACTATTTTTCATCCTTCCTTCATTTTTTCCTTCAGCATATACATTACTGAAACTGTGGTTGACCGCCTGTATGAATTCCTACTTGTTTATGAATCCCCTGTATCACCTATCCCAGTACAAATTAGCTTCAAAAGTAGTGAAGAATGTGTATGCTGCCACTACTGCACTGTCAAAATTCACTGGTGGATGGGGAACCATGGCACCAATGCGAAAGCTTCCATTCCCAGAAGTTCTCCACCAGTCTTACGAATGATAAAACATAATCTCACCTGCTATATGTTCTCTGTTTATTTAGACTGTAGATTGACATTCTTAATGTCGGCACTCCGATACTGAGAACTGACCTCCTTATTTTGAGTCTTGTCTCTTCTAGGCAACAAAATCCCAAATGTTCAGAACACAACAGTACAGTATCTGTATTTGTTTGCTTAGAAAGAATAGCTTGAATTCACATACAGCTGCCATGTTTGTATGTATGTCCTGTTAATAAGGCAACAGGATACAAAATCTTTATTTTCCTTTCTGGTCTGCAAATTAGGGGATCTAGATTGTTCTCCTTCTAATGAGCTGGAACTTTTAACATTTCTCTTCACTGAAAGCACATCGGGAACCCCGGTGGATAGGAACTCTGGTGGCGCAATGGGTTAAACCGTTGTGCCAGCAGGACTGAAGACTGACATGTCGGAGGTTCAAATCCAAGGAGAGCACAGATGAGCTCCCTCTGTCAGCTCCAGCTTCCCATGCAGGAACATGAGAGAAGTCTCCCACAAGGATATCAAAACATTCGGGCATCCCCTGGGCAACGTCCTTGTAGAAGGTCAATTCTCTCACACCAGAAGCGACTTGCAGTTTCTCAAGTCACTCCTGACACTAAAAAAAAAAACCGTAAGACCATCCTTATAAGCTGGGAGGAGAAGCCTGGGAAAAATCTGACTGTTTCTGGAATTGAACGGACAGGCATTTACCAAGGGAGTAGTTGTTTTACTCCATCCTTTAAGAGTTTCTAAGCAAAAAGACAAAAAGAATCCATGCAAAGTTAACATAAGCTTGTTCTTGCCTTGAGGTAAAATTCTGATACATCCAATTACATATTACTCAAATCTTTTTGAGGCTAAACCATTTTGAAATATCAAATGTTTTAAAGAAAACATTTTAACCTTGGGCTTTTGTTGCCTAGAAGAAACAAGATTCAAAATTTAGAGTAAAGTTATCAATAGCAGAGTACTTACTGAAATTTAGTATTCAGTCAAATAACTATCACTGCCTTATCGCACAACACTGAACTTATATTCTTGTAGGAAGTCTTCTTCTGAACACGACTAATTTTGATCTTCACACATGCAATGTGAATGTGAGTGCCCAGAGGGTGATAAGAGGCACCAGATCTCATTTGATCTTGGAAGCTAAGCACGATCAGCCCTGGTTAATAATTGGAAACTACCAATGAGAAACAGACTGTATGTAAGAGGAAGGAACTGGCGAAAACATCTCTGGGTATTCCTTGTATAAGATAATTGCATAAAATGAATGGGGCCACCATAAATTGACAGGCAACTTGAAGAAGTGTGCATGCATACACCCAGAGCTTTCTAAGGATTAGTTAACCCTGATCGTGCCTGTTTCTTGTTACAGGAAGACTTCTTAAAACTATTTTATCAAAATATTCCTGGAAGTCCCCTCAATACATTTGTGCCTTGTGTCATGAAATGTACAAGCACAAGGGGACAAGTGCGAACACTGGGAGTATGGAATGGTGTATACCTCTAACCTCATACATTTAAGCTTTTAGTCTTATGAAGCCAGGGGGCACACCTTGAATTTTTAGAGTGTAACAAGGTCTTCTGGAGCTCTCTTGTTTTTAGGATCAGTACATTTCAAAGACAATTGTTGCTCTATAACAACAACAATAATAATGCAAAAGGAGAAAACAAAAAACACTCATTTCTAAAAAGGCAGACTTAAAAGAAAGGTGACTTTCTTAATAGCCTAAATATATCCATCTGAACTCTAAAATCACACTATAGAAACAATACATTGCTTCAATGAGGATTTCAGAGAAGACATTCAGATGTGGTTCAGAGGCAGATAATTTGTTCAGAAACTGAGTAGAGACAACAGAGGTAGAGGCTCAACTCTAAATGCCAGTACACATGTTTCAAACAAACAAACAAATCCATTTCAAAAATGGCAAACTGTGACACCCAGAAAAAAACACTCACAAGGAAAACACTGGATCTCCAAACGCTTAGATAAAACATACATTTCTGCTCAGTGACCCACCCACCCTAATATTTCCTATTGTTTCCAGCTTGCATTTGCTTAAACCAGTGATTCTCAACCTGTGGGTCCCCAGACGTTTTGGTCTTCAACTCCCAGAAATTGTAAGAGCAGTAAACTGGCTGGGATTTCTGATAGTTGTAGGCTAAAACACCTGGGGACCCACAGGTTGAGAACCATTGGTTTAAGGGATACCTTTTTATGTTAAAAAAAAAAAAGGCAACATGGGAGGCTGATATTTTTTAAATCTAAGATATTTTTTTTGAAAAATATTCTGCTTTAAATCTAAGATTTTTTTTAGAAACAGGAGTTCTGCAGAACCTGGCAAGTGGGGAAACAGTGCACATATAATAAGGAAAATCTATACATTTGTATAACAACAGTAAAAAAACAGACTTTAGTCTCATGGAAGTACACATAAAGACATTAAAAGAGTACATTTACTTTTAAAATATTACTTTTACTTTTTATAATGACTATGTTTAAAGATCATAACAAGCCATGGTTTATTTTCACCAATTTGTTGTTTAAGCCACAAAAATGCATAGCAGATGAAGAAATGGCAGCTTGACCTCCCCAACTTTGATTTGCTTCTGGTTTATCTGTTATTTCCCACCCCTTTCATTAGTTTTTGTTTTATGGTGGGAAGCTGGTGGAATCAGAAATGATCAGAAAGCTACAGGGCCAGATGCTACTACACATCATAATTTAAATAAGGTTTTGCAGACCAACAACAACCATGATTTCAAACTACGTCCTGCCTCGGAGTTTAAGATCATCTGAAGAGGTCCTGCTCTCAATCCCACCTTCTTCACAAATGCGTTTGGCGGGGATGGGAGACAGGGCCTACTCGGTGGTGGCCCCCCAGTTGTGGAACACACACCCCAGTGAAATTAGGTCAGCTCCATCCCACCTTTCCTTCAGGAAGAAGCTCAAATCATGGTTTTGGGACCAGACATTTGGGTAGCAGGTTTGACAGCAATTGCAATGTTCATGAGAAGTGACAATGGACAGGCTTTGAACTGGGTCTTTGGATGCTGAATTGGACTTGGATATGGCTATACGGTTGATAATAATGTTTTAAATGGATTTTTAACCTAATGTTTTATCTAATATGTAATGTTCTGTTACAATGTGTTTTTTTAAGTGTTGGCTCTGAAGTCCGGGGGGGGGGGGGGGGGGGAGAGACTTGAGAAGGATGGGTACAAATGTTTGAAATAATAAATAAATAAATAAATAAATAAACTGTGGCTTGTACTTGGTCAGAAACCATATCTTGTTGGGAAACAGGTTTGTATACCAAACTAAGCAAGTAAGCAATATTATTCTTGCTGTATCTTGTGAGTCTGTTAATGAAATAAATATAACAGGATGATATGCATACAGGATTTTTTTTTCCTAGTTTGAATTCCTAAGAGAACTTTTGGAATCTATGCAGATAGAAAATGCCATCCATCAAGACGGACAAATTCAGAGAGCATTTATTTTTCATGTATGAAAAATGTAAAAGTTACCTGAGCATAACGCAAAAGCTTTTCTGTTGCCTCTGAATCTTTACTCCATATCAAATCTTCACAAAGCTGCAAAAGCTCCTTATGGATATCATCGTACACTGGCAGATTTCCTGCATTCACAATCCCCATGTCCATTCCACACTAAGAAAAAGAATTTAAAAGGAGAGGGGGGAAAGGTAATGCATGCCTGTGACAAGTGTCTCCTGCCCAGAGACTACTCTGTCAAGATGCCTGTCTTACCTTAATTGCATGGTAAAGAAAAACTCCATGCATCGCTTCTCGAATAGCATCCATGCCCCGGAAGGAAAAGGATAGATTGGAAAGGCCACCACTTATTTTCACTCCAGGAAGAGTTTCCTGCCAACAACAGCATCACTATCAGCAAGTGCATAAAACGTCACACAATATACTTTCTTATTAGAAACCTAAGAGCAATTAGTGAATTCATTAATTGCATTCTCAAGGACAGAGAAGAAGTAGCTACTAGATAACATGCTGCTGCAGTATATGGACAGCAAAGAAAAAGCAGAGGAGAAAGTAATATACACACATTCCTCGGCCTGTTTACTGGCCGAGGAATGAAGCATATCATAACAGATAGGAAGAAAATGGCAGCTGTTCCAGAACATAGCATATCTCACATTCAAGGCTGTTTGTCTTCCACGTTGTGTTACATAAAATCATCCTAGTATCTTTCCTGTTAAGATAATTCTTCCTGTAGGAAAATTTGGAAGCTGTTCAAAATTAGATCTGAGTTTCAGGACTCCTGTTCTCCATTGGCACTGCATAAGTGTCAGGAAGTGGTGGGGGTGAGGGGCATCCAGACTGAAAACAAGTAGGTCAAGGGTATGTGGAGCAATACCTGGTGGAAACTTGCAATCTGCCAGGGCAATGCAGGATCACATCCCAAAGGAGTGGATGGGTCAGGATCAATGAGATAAATGCAACTACTCTTCCTTTTAACTGCCTTGGCTTTAAGTGATTAATTGGTTGCAGAAGTCATTTTTCAAGTGGTGTGTTTCTGAGTTGTATTTTTAACCTTGTTCTGTTTCGAAATGATTTTACACTTTTAAAACAGCATGGGATTTCAGAGTCACAGAAACAAAAAGGACTACAAGGGAATTCTAGTCCCTTCTTCTACATGATATTCCTTCAGCCATTTAAAGATGGCTGCTATGTTGCTTTTCAGATTTCTGTTCTCTAAGCCAAATACGAAAAAAAAACTGTACATCTAACATATCTCTCCAATTATTAACTGGGTGATGTTATAAGATAACATCCAGAATACATTTTTCCCCAGCAGAAAATTAAATCCAGAGTTCACACAATTTGCACAAATAATAAAAGATTTCCAAATGTCTTGAATTTTTTCTTAATTTCTCCTCTTCTTTTATTCATTTTATGTTAAAATGCTGGGGCAAACTCTTTTCCATTTTTATATTGAAAGTTCCTCAGATGTTTCCCATGATGTCACTATTTCTAATCTTGCAGTCTCTTTAGCAACAGGGCTACAAGGTCTTTATCTAGCAAACTTTCATTTTTGTTTTCAAATATGGCAACTAACAATATAGTTCTTCCTAATGCATTCTTTGCCCTTGTATTTTGTTTAGTATTTTTCCAGAAATTTACTGTTATGGGACATGATAATCATACACAGCCAATTTCCAATTTTACTCCCATTCTTTCCAGCACGGTTTTGACAGGTCATTCTTAATTTTATAGATTTCAAGTGGATACAACTACCAGTTGTGAACTATCAATACATTTTTTTTAGCCTGGGAAGAAAGACAATCCTAGGATGGGATTGTCTAAATAGGTAGCATTATCCAATCTAAAAGATTAATCAGATTTGGGAACATAATTATCAGAGAAACAAAGTGATACAATTTGGGCACAGTATTCCAGATGAGTTCTAACCAAAGAAGACAAAAATGGCACAAATACATTCCTATACTCCTAACTGACACAGCCTAGCATCACATTAGCTTTTTGGTTGCCATATTTCACTGTTGACATTGTTAATAGAACTTATTTAACTGTATTTAGGTTTTTTCTATCCAATTTCTAGCTTTTCTAGTATTTTTGTAAGCTGCATTAAATCTCATCTCACAGTGAGAAGATCAATATTAAAGAAAGAAATAATAACACTATAACAGAAGCTAAAAAAGATATAATTAAGTAATAACAATTTTTTGTTCTATATGCATGGGTATGCAAACACAAATATACATATATGGGTGTGTATACAGGCACACATGCTAGACAGAATGAAGAATATCCTGTTTCTAGGACAAACTAGAATTGTGTTGACAAAACTGGTGCTTGCCCTAATTAAATCAGTCTGGGCAAAGACTTTTCGGCTAACTACCAACATTTTGTAAATATTGTTCTATTTAATTACTGTAAATATATTTACAGTACAGCAATAGTCAGTAATATTTTTAGGCTGCTATTTCTGTGACTGGAAGTAAAGCTGAGAAAACAGTTCAGTACAGAGAGTTCCTCAATTTAGTTAGATGACTGTTTATATTCTCTTTGTGTCTTTATGCCCCTCTCGTCAAATACTGCCAGAAAAGAACCAAAAGCTAGATATTAAAGAACTTCCTGGACTCACTTTTATGGTTTTAGTTGCATTGATAAAATTAATTGCATACAAATTATGTTCTTCCATTCCAGTACCTATGGTCAGAATGTTTGGATCAAAAATGATATCATTTGGATTGAAGCCCACTTTGTTCACCAGGAGGCAGTAGGCTCTGGTGCAGATTGCAATTTTCTCTTTGGTTTCTGTAGCCTGAAAAATAATAAATTAAATTAAGAGTGTAGATACAAAGTAACACACACACACACACACCATTACATTTACATAATTCTGCAAAGTACTCAGATATCATATGCAAAGGCAGTAACACCAGAGCTAACATCACCATTGCATTTGTCTGATTCATTCAATAATTTTGGGGCACAATGGAGGACCTTCTAATAGCAACACCAGAGGCACTCCAAGTAGACAGCTACTGGTCAAAGCACATTTATGAGAATGCCATTTTGCAAACTTTGTGGTTTACTTTGCCATTTGTTTTAAAATACAATACAACTGTTGTATTGTATTTAAGGTTCACTCCTGATACGATAAATAAATAAATAAATAAATAAATAAATAAATAAATAAATAAATAAATAAATAAATAAATAAATAAATTTGGGACCTAATGTCAGAAGAGAATTTCTAAATGTTGCTAAAACCATAACATCTTCAGGTTTAGAGCCAACCTAAGGGCCAGGAAAGTATGTTGTTCCTACAATATGGTAGCAACACTAGCTGACCTCATACTTCCCACTTATCTCAGGTTTTAAATATGCTATGTAAAATGAATCAAAGGTTTGTATTGGAAGTTTGAAAACAGATCATGGACCAAACAGATTATAACATGGAGGAGCATGCAAATCTTCCATTTTCTTGTCCCCATGAAAAAGGTCAGGGGAGAGTCATAATCCAACATCTGGAGGGTACACAATCCCCAAGCCTACTGAGAAATCAGTCAAGGGAACCACTAAAGAAATAACGTAGACCTGTGGTCTTGATAGACCTGGACAGAACTAATCTGCCAAGATTTGCCTGTTAAATGAAGCTATTTGGAGCAGGGCATAGGTTAGTAGAAATCCAAAAAAGGAACAACGCTTTTACATATTTTTTTTCTTATACTGTCAGCTTCATGAAGAAGTTCATTTCAACATCTCTATGAAACTGCTATTCCCTCAGGGTTTGGTTCAGTAGATAAAGTTAAAGGTTTTCCCCTGACATTAAGTCCAGTTGGTGCTCATCTCCATTTATAACCTGAAGAGCCAGCGTTGTTCATAGACGCCTCCAAGGTCATGTGGCCGGCATGACTGTCGTTACCTTCCCGCCAGAGCAGTACCTAGCGATCTATGCACATTTGCATGTTTTCAAACTGATAAGTTGCAGAAGGTGGGGCTAACAGCGAGAGCTCACGACGCTCCTAGGATTTGAGCCTGTGACCTTTCACTTAGCAAGTTCAGCAGCTCAGCGTTTAACCCAGTGCACCATTGGTCGTTCCAGTATATTGCTTAAATTGGGAGCAATCATGGGGCAGTGCTTTGAACACTGGGCTATGGCTCTGGAAACCAGGGTTTGAAATTGGAATTGGAAACCCACTGGTTTGCCATACGGTCATCACAAGCCAGAAATGACTTGAAAGCACATATTGACAACAACTGTTTTAACTATATGCATGTCATGTTAATTGTGCATAATTCTACACTATTCACATGTTTGCTTTCTTTACCAAAGCTACAGAAAACAGATCTCTGAAACAAAATGCATTTTTGTTTTGTTGCTAGTTCTAGAAAGCATTTTCATAAAGAACCCTGAACTCAGCAAAATCCTTCTCTCCTTAACCGGGGCTGAGAGTTATTCTCAGGCACTCTTGCTGTGCACTCACTGCTTCTTTACCATTCTAGGCTACAAATGAGACAAAATGTTCCAATCCATCCCTTGGGATATTATTTTTAATACGCCACAGTATTCCCCAAGCATCAAGTTTAAGGATTCTGGGCATTGCAGTCCAAAGAACAACTTTTTCAGACTGTCCTAGAAAGCCAATCTCAGGCATGTTAAGGAAAAAACAAACAGCACTGACCTGACCCACTTCATCAAAGGCCATAACCACCACAGCTGCTCCATATTTCTTTATTTTTCTGGCTTTTGCAAGGAAATCCTCTTCGCCCTCTTTCAGACTGATGCTGTTCACTATGCATTTGCCTTGACAACACTTCAACCCGGCCTCTATCACAGTGAAATTGGATGAATCAATGCAAAGTGGCACCTGATACCAGTGGACCAAAAATAAAAGGGTGAACACCATTAAAACAGAAAACAAAAACAATACTGGTGATATGCTGTTTCAAATATATCTGAAAGGCAAAATATGTCATAGAAGTATCATCATGTTCTCTTTCAGGAGTGAGAATTGCTCAGCAAGTGTTAAACTACAACTCCCAAAAACCTTAGGCATCCTAGTCAAGAGTGAGGAACACCATGAGTTGGTTCTTTGACTTCTGAAAGGCTACACAATTCTTTTTTCTATGTTGTTGGAAGAGGAAACATTACAAAAAATCATAATTTTCATGTGTATAGTTGATAGATATAACACAGAATCACTTAGCAATTACATGCAGCTCTGCATTCATGACTTCCTAGATAGCATTCTTAAGAGTTGATATGTGCTGTTGCCACAGAAATAAAGGAGATATGCCATGACACAGTTTATCTTGTCACCATACCAGCTGACATCAGAAATAGCTATCCTTATTACCACACTAGATTAATGTGAGGTATGCTTTAAGACCCAATTTTCAATCAGCTAAGAAGCCAGAATACTCTGGGCCCCCACTTTCAAAGGCAGCACATAGAACTCTCCTTTTCTGTCGGCATCCAATTCCACAGAGAAGCCCTCTCATTCGAGTGAATGCCTATCACTGTTGCGGTCACCAGCAGCTTTCCAACCTACTCCATGACTGGCTTAATTTTGTCACTAAGAATCTAATGCCTTTTTTTTTTTTTGCTTTTCTCCTTCCCAGACTTTTTTTACTTCATGTTACTTCTTTTTATCTGCAAACCTGTGGACAGGGATATCCTTATCCCAGAGATAATATCCTTATCCCAGAGATAATAAGATAAAGCATTAACGCAAAGTCACCAAGACGGAGGACTTTGATTTCTATTAAGGCAGGGGTATCGAACACATTTCCATTGAGGGCCACATCAGCCTTATGGTTGCCTTCAAAGAACCACTGAATCCATAGGCAGAGAATCCACAGATTCTCAACTATACATGCACACACACAACAGACACACACATACACACACATAGTGGTCAGGGCTATTTAGTTTTGACACAGTTTGGATCCCCAGATGTTATTAAATGACACTCCCATGAGTTTTGAGTTTGACTGGCATAATGGGAACTGCAACGCAACAGCACTTGTGGGGAAAGTTTAAAGGACGTTTTAAAGTCAGACATCATATCCAGAAGCCTTGTATCTAAATTTAAACACCGCTCTCTTGACTAAACAGAGCAAACTGCAACATTCACAACTCCCATCAGCTCCAATCATGATGGCTAATGATCAGGAATACAGGACTAGGTTGAAAGGGTGTTAGGCTCCAGCATATGGAGGGCCACATAAAATTACATAGTGGGCTGGATTCAGCCCTCAGGTCTTGAGTCTGGTACGTGTATTAAATGGAAAGAAGACACTTTATACGTAGTTCACAGCATGTCTGTATTGAATATGGGCACAGATTGCACTGCCTTCCTAGAGCTGAATTTGAGATGCTTTTTGCATAATATCCTCTGGAAAACTCTTCTTGCCAGTTACATCAATATTTGGCTGGAAGAGACATTTAGATTTATGAAGGATATTAAAAAGATAGCCAGAGAGAGAACAGTGAGCACATCAATATCCTGCCAAATTCCAAATGGCATGCACCAGTTGATTGGGCAAAACGAAAAGACATTTCAGGCTGAAACTAATAAGAAAATGTATATTCTGTCAATGACAATTTCATTTCTTGCCTTTCTTCACATCCATCTTACACAGCCAGAGGTGGCAGGTAGTTCACTAAAGCTCAAGACTGCTAGAAAAACACAGTCATTAGCCTATGGATTCTTCTATTGATATTAGAATGCACAAGTATATATGAAGAGTGCACTGGTAGGAAAGTGAATTGAGTTGTTCACACTGAAAGTCCATTAATTTCATTTTAAAAATAAGATTCTGGTGCTGATTCAGTCATTGTCTGGCTTTTAATTTAGTACCTTTCACAGCAAACACTTTGCATTAGAACTGTGCAGGAACTCAGCTCCTTCAGAAGTAAGAAAGCAACAATCCTGCTTTCCGGGGGCACTCATTTCAGCAGCAGCATGATGACTGTTTTTAATCCCAAAGGATTGCTGTAACAGGTGAGAACTGCAACCCTCCATGTTCCAATCTCAAAAAACATTCGCATGCCATAGTTACTTGGTTAGGATCAGGGTTATAGCGTGACCTTCTTCTGATCAGTTGCAAACACTTATTTTGGTGAGTCTTACATTGCTACAAGTATCAGTGCAGAAGGAGACCATACAACACAAGTGAGCAAACCTGTAGGGCCAGAACATCCTGTGCAGCTATAGAGTTTAGTACAGGCAGTCCCCAAGTTATGAGCAAGAAAGACACCATAGGTTTGTTCTTAAGTTGAATTTGTATGTAAGTCAGAACATTTTAAAGTGTAACTCCGGCCAAATGTATATACTGTATATATAAGCTCTGAATAACATAGGATAAGAAACTCCTGTGGTGTTCATTTTGCTTTCTGCACCCCTGTTCAGAATATTTCACCTCACTTTTTGTCCCTGTGACAATTGGATTTTGAAAAATTTGGCTTGTTGTAGAAACAACGATTGCTGAGAAAGCTTCAGTGACGACACCTTTTCCCCATTATAACTCATTCTGGAATGAACTTCCCTTCCTACGGGTAAATTTCACTTCCTGTTGTCTCACCCCCATTCTTGACTATGAGTCGTTAGTAAGTCGGATGTTTGTAATTTGGGGGCTGCCTGTACATTTTTGTAAAAAGAGAAAGAAAAAAGAATCTTCACCCTCTACTACAAGCACATATATTATAACAGCTGCAAAATACAACCTTAGCAATATCAGGTTCCGAAGCAATGAAGTTGCAGAATCTAGCCATGGCACTTGGCCCATCTAGCATGCCATCGTCCATATTGATATCCAGAATTTGAGCTCCCATCTCCACTTGGGCCTTGGCTACACTCAGTGCTTCCTGCAATTGATCATAACAAAAAAGTAGTTAGGCTTCATACAAATACCTTTTTCCCCTTCTAATGTGTTCCAGAGTTGTAGTTGATAGAGAATAAACACCTTCCCTGAGAATGAAACTCTAACTATTTTTTAATCTAATTTTATACCTCCAGGTGTTTCCTCTTTTCTAACATTACAAATTGGTTCATTCAGACAGGGTTTTAGATATTTATACAATGCCTTATTTATTTATTTATTTAGATAGATAGATAGATAGATAGATAGATAGATAGATAGATAGATAGATAATGGTTACTCCTTCCTCAGAAGTCCCCGATGATGCAGCTGGTTAAACCACTGAGCTGCTAAACTTGCTGACTGAAAGGTCAGCAGTTCAAATCCAGGGAGCTGGGGGAGCTCCACTATTAGCCCCAGCTTCTGCCAACCTAGCAGTTTCAAAACATGCAAATGTGACTAGATCAATAAGTACCGCTTTGGTGGGAAGGCAACAATGCTCCATGCAGTCATGCTGGCCACATGACCTTGGAGGTGTCTACGGACAACGTCGGCTCTTCAGCTTAGAAATGGAGATGAGCACCACCTTCCAGAGTTGGGCACATCTTAATGTCAAGGGGAAATCTTTACCTAACCCCCCCTCCTCAGCTACAAAGGCACTCAGATCAACTTACAAAATTTTAATTTGCCCTCAGGCTTCCAATTGGCGTGAAACAGTCCTATTTTACTTCCTGTAGAGCTCCAACTGGCACATTATCAGAGTAGTGTGGAGGCTGCTTCTCCATGGCCTCCTCCCACACTGCTCCAGTATTATTTATATCAGTGGACTACATTTGTTCAGCATATGTTCCCATCCCATTGGGCAACTCGGCAACAGCAAATCTAGCAAAACAGTAGTAATGGGTGCAATTATCAGTAGGCTCAGAGACCCCCAAAGGATCTCCGGTTTTTAGTGCTGGGTTGCATCATCATGTCTGCAGTGAGCAATTCAATTACAAATGGAAATAAGATACACTTGTATTCTTTTATAGCCGATCCAAGATACAACCAAGCTCAACAGCTGCTTCATGCATTACCGAGTATGCATGAACAGTAGAAGAAAACAAGAGGGAAGAGAAGTCTGTACCACCAGTCACCACTAGCAAGTCTGGACACCCAAACCGAAATCATAACAATATAGGAAGTCTCGCTGCCTTCTAATAAAAGTAAACCCTAGAAAAGGCTTTCAATGGTCTCCAGAAGGTTCAAAATGTTTTAAATGCAAAGTTTACCTGATCTGGTTGTTCACTTCACATGTGCATGCTCCTACTTTTGAATTTTAAAATTGCTGGAACATATTGAGCTGCTTCTCTTTTTTGTGACAGAGGAACCAACTCTATTCTTTCTACTGCCGATACCAAATATTATGTTTAAAAAATAGTGCCTGGGAAAACATTTATTGCATTAATTGATGAAAGATCCCCATGACTGACCTTTTACCCACATAGTTTCTCCATCCATTTTGCCCCTTTTCACCCAAACACCACTCTTACTTCATTTCAAGCTGTTTACATCTGGACCCAAGTAGTCAAGAATCACTCTCCTATTCCTCTCTTGTAAAGGTTCAAGCACAACTGAAGAATTCATGTCCCAGAAGTTGCCCTGCTTTGACTAATTTAAAGTCTGTTACCAATAAGACATGCAAAACTGTTTTAATATATAATTGTGTTGTTGCTATACTATGCCAGCAGTTACATCTTCTCCAGTGTCAAAGTAACAGTGGTGAGGGAAGACAGACAGCAACGTACTGTCTGACAGCAGACAGCAATGTACTTAGCTGTCTTAATCCTTTCCCATTTCACAGCACCATGGCCTTTTGCCTCCTGCCACCAACTCCTAGTGGTGCAACTCCAGTGGCGCAATAGGTTAAACCCTTGTGCCAGCAGGACTCAAGACCAACAGGTCAGAGGTTTGAATCTGCATGAGCTCCCTCTCTCAGCTCCAGCTCCCCATGCAGGAACATGAAAGAAGTCTCCCACAAGTATGATAAAACATCAAAACATCTGGGCATCCCCTGGCCAATGTCCTTGCAGAATGGCCAATTCTCTCACAGCAGAAGCAACTTGAGAAATTGCAACTCACTCCTGTCACAAAAACTCCTAAAACTGTGTAGCTCCAGTAGGATTCTAATTTAGATTATCTAATCTCAATTAGAGAAGAGGACTCACAATTTATTACAAGCTGTTTATTTCATCTCTAGAGGCTGCACTTCAGATCACTGGAAAGATAACATCCTGGTTATTTATCCAGAAGAAACTACATACATGGAAGGATTATATTATGTCAAATGTGATGAGTAAAATCCAATCTAGCATCTTAAAGTAAACTTACTTCATATTTGTCTGCCATGATGAGCTTAGCAAACCTTCTTGACCCTGCAACATTGCAGCGCTCCCCAATGTTGACAAAATTGGTATACTGCCCAATCCTGAATGGTTCTAGACCTAGAAAGTTTTTAATATATTTATTTATTTACAGTATTTATATCCCACTCTTCTCACCCCAAAGGGGACTCAAAGCAGCCTTACAACAGGGAACAATTCGATGCCATAAAACATTAAACACACATATAGTAAAAATAAACAAATACATTAAAACATAAGATTAAAAAGCATAAAAACATTAAAACTAATGAATAGAAACACATATGATTATTACATAAAGAAAACAAAAGCTGATATTGTTCTACATGGATAGTCTTTGCGTATCAAGAGTGTGCAAAGTGTATCCTTAAGCTGTATGTCGCTCCTAGGATTACTTTTGCAATCCCCAAAGCAGCCCAGTTACCAAAAGCTGCTCTATCCCCACCCCCATATTATAATCAGTATCTAAATTTATGAGATGAATAGAATAGTACTAGTCCCCAGCAATTCGACACTTAGAATGTGCACTTAGAATGTAAGCATGGAGTCCTATGGCAGTGTTTGTTTTTGTGTGTTTTTCATTACTTCATCTTATGGCAAAATTTGTACAGTAGTTTGATTTTCCTTTCTCTGAGGCTGAGGGCAAGTCTATGGGGCAAGAAGAAAACCAGTCCACTAACTGCCCCTATGATGTTTGCCAACTTCTAGAAAGCATCATATTTTATTTATTTATTTATTGCTTTACTCTGACTTTACCCCACTTAAAAATTAGGGGATACTCCAAGGCTTGCTTGAAACTAGAGTATTCTCAGGATTGTGTGGCACTCTGGACAGCTCTAACAGGTCCAACTCAGCACAATCTGCTGTCCAAAATAGCACTGGGAAAGGGGATGGCTCATCCTATGTCACCATCACTGCAGTCTCCTGCCTTCTTGCTGGTCTCATCAAAAGAAGCACCCACAATGGCAAAGAGATCAGATGGAGATTTGTGGCTAGTTGGAATGGCAGTGGCAACATGGAAAGTGAGGTGATGGTCCAGCAAGGGAGATCTGGTTCCAGCCTCACTGGATCTACTAGATACCAACACAGTACCATTGTGGGTTTGGCCAGGTGCATCTGGCACATCTGGGACCAGTCCAGAGCATAGCTGCTGCAGGTTGGCCCCAGTTTTAATAACCAGACTTGACCTGAGAGAGAGTGACTTAAGATCATTCAGTGGTTTTCTATGGCTGAGTGAGGATTCAAACCTTGATTTTCAGAGTTATCACTACACCATACTAGTTTATTTGGCATTTCAGAATTTACTTTATAAACAAATAATAGCAAAGTACACTCTACAGCTGAGAGGGTTTTGTAACACTTCACCTATTTTTGTCTTTGCATTTGACATCTCCAAGGGGAAGAAAGCAGCTGTAAAGACATTCAAATGAGTGCAGATCAAGATGTCTGGACAGACATCAAGTCTTCTCACCTGACAGCAACATGTAGCCTTCTGAGAAAGAGGAGTTAGGTATGCGAGGCTTGCATCCCTTCACTGCTTCAGCTATCTCCCTGCATTACAAAACAGGAACACAGACAATTATAGCACAGAGCTTTACAAGAAGGAATTCAAATGAACACATTTGTGTTTTTTGGGTTGTTGTTGTTTTTTTTTTTTTACTATGCTCTCCTCTCCTCTTAGTCTTCCAGGAAGGAACTCACAGGTGAAGAGATATCCATCCATTTGCAAACATTACAGGGACTAACAGAACTTCAGTATATAAGAAAAACATTTCTACCTCTGCAATCTTCCGTTGTAGAAGCCAAACCTGTGAAAAGTGCTGTATGATTTTGTTTTTATGTTTTTATTTTACACATATATCATTTTTTTTCTCTGATGGTAAAGGCACAGAAGCAGAGCTTTGAGACTTAAGCCAATAATCAGTCCCTTGTGGACTACTTTTAAGAAGGCTGCCTCCTTTGTTTTTTGTTAAGATTTAGCTTTCACCAGAGCATGCTTATATTTCAGTATTCTTTCTTAATGACTGTGTTTTGTTCATATATTCAAATTTTTCTGTCAACAAATAGCATGGAGTGGATGAGCCAATAAAGAGTCATTATATTGTCTGTGCTGTATTTTTCGTTCTCTGGGGTAGTAATGCCACTCTTTACCTCAATACATTCTTAAGGGATATTAAAAAAAACTACCACAATAATCCCATCATCTTTCATTTTCTGCTTCCACCTCCGCCCACCTCCATCGCTCATAAACTCTTTAAGCTCTTGCCTATCAGTTTTTATTACAAGAGGGAAATGGCTAAGCTCTTCCCATCAGCCAAAGAGTGAGAATTTCCAATTAACTAGATATGGAGGTGCTGAAAAACACTTCATGAAAGCAGCTCTAGGTAAACAAATTATTTATTTAACTTAATTACATTGTGCTGTCATGCGTTGCCCAATCAACATCCTCCACAACTGGCACACAATTTCTTTGAATCGTGAATAAAAGGTATCAAGCCTAAAGCACAATGAACTGAAGTTCTCTGGAGATGGTTCATGGTCATCTTTGCAGTCTGCTTGTGGACTATTTCTGGTGGCTGTGCCTCAACCAATATCCAGCAACTGGATAGTATAATGAAGCCTCATTGCTTCAGGCACCGCTTATTTCAACTCCAGATTATGATACTGAATACAGGTTTTCGTCCCTCATAACAATCCTCTAGCCACAGATTATTTTCCTAGCAGCCTCATGCATGCAACTTTCTGAAGGGTGTAATGAATGATGCCAGCAGTACATCTGGTGAAAAAACTTCCACAGGTGGCTGAGAGAGGAGACCAGTTAGCTCTTATCCCTGTCACCTCTGTGAAGGTACATCAGCAGGACGGGATAACCACTGCTACCAAAGAACTAGGTCAGATATATCCCATGGTACAGTTTTACATAATACCTACAGTAAAAAGGTGCTAATTATTTCTTAAGAATATGAATCACCTTCTCTCCAAATTCCAGCCTGCCAAAATAGAATGAGAGGGACCTAATTTGACCATAGGACATGTTAAAGGGCTATAGGATTCTTAGTGGACCCCAAGCTCAACATGAATCAAAAGTGTGGTGAAGTATGTAAAAAAGTCAATGTCGTTCTAAGCTGTGTCATTGGGAGTATCGTAAAAAGATTGATAGAAATATTAGTATAAGTCTATTTATCTTTGGATAGACTTCAGCTGGAATACTGTGTCCAGTTCTGGGCATCACAACTCAAGAAGGATATTGACAAGTTGGAGAAGGACAACCAAAATGGTAAAAGTCCTGGAAACCAAGCCCTATGAGCCATTAGGCTGCTGGGTACATTAACTTAGGGTGCTGGGTATATTAACTTAGGGTGCTGGGTACATTAACTTTGTGGAAGAGACATTTAAGTTTAAGTGATATGATAGACATATTTGATTATTTGAAATAATCAATAATGTTATATTGAAGATGAATCAAGACCGTTTTCTGCTGCTTCAAAGACTAAGGCATGGAGCTGTTTGGCAATGGAATATGTTGCCTTGGAATGTGGTGAAGTCTCCTTTTCTACAGTTTTTAACATAGAGACTGGATGGTTGAACTGGATGGTCCTTGTGATCTCTTGCAACTCTGCAGTTCTATGAAAATGTCTCTAAGTACGGTCAAAATCTTCAATTGTACTACAATATACCCTAATAACCACTTTGATTATTTATTTATTTATTTACTGTATTTGTATACCGCCTTTTGCAGCCCGTAGGCGACTCAAGGCGGTTAACAGGGTAAAATTCAATGCTTACAATATCATAAATACAATTAAAAACATAACATATAATGAAAACTAAACAAATCAGTAAAATATAAATTCATAGTTTCTTTTTGTTAAAAACGTTGTCCAGTCTCATTGTCTAGTCGTTCCATTTTCCTATGTCAGTTACTCTGCATTTGGAAACACTTGCTCAAAAAGCCACATCTTGACTTTTTTTTCCAGAATGTTAAAAGGGAGGTGGCCGATCTAATATCTATAGGGAGGGCATTCCACAGCCAAGGGGCCCCCACCGAGAAGGTCCTGTCTCTCGTCTCCTCCAAACGTACTTGTGACGAAGGCAGTAACGAGAGCAGAGCCTCCCCAGACGATCTTAAGGTCCTAGGGAGGACATTATACAGTTAATATATAAGTGAAGTTACCGGATATGTGCTGGAGTGGTCCCACAGCAGCCACCAACTATATTCACCAAACCATCTAATGCAAAACTCTGCAAATGAGAAAAATCACTTTTTAGATACCAGTTAGAGAGAGAAGAATTCAATGTTAACGGAAGGGGAAAAAAGCAGCATGTCACATTGTTTATGTATTACTATAGGGTATTAAAATAATTAAAATGAAATTTGATTCATTATGGATACTTTGCTATGGGCAGACTCACTGCCATTTTCAATTAAACTGGAAATCATCACTGTTGCAACGGTGGTACAACAAGATGCCTGTTCACTTCATTCTCAAGCATTTTTGACTCTCAAAACACCTTTGAACAGGGCAAGTGTGGAGGAAGGTTAAAGCAATTATAAATTATAATAAATCACACATAGAAATAAGAATGCAGTAAATCAATCCAAAACAGCCACTTTGAAGCTTGAAACTCCACTCCACAAGAAACACAGGTTACAATGGGAATGAGCCCTACCTATTTTGACATAGGTTATGGGGCTAGGAAAGGCTTACTTTGGTAGTGATGGATACAAATCTACGTTTTGATGACAATTTTGTGGAGACAATATTGATCCATAATGAGATTTTTCCCAAGGGGAGAGCAGCCTTCATAATAAGCAGCTTCCTTCCCCAGCCTGAACATAAGACCGACCCCTGAACTGCCCCCCAAGAACCAAGTGGTGAAGAAGAAGAAGAGACATTTTGAATCAGCCTTACACAGAAGATAAAAGTAATGAAGTGACTGTTTGGAAAAACTACCTAAAAATATAGCAGAGCATCCAAAAACATACAGGATACTTATAGTTGAGCATTAGCTCACAGCAAGCAGAGCATGAAGTACAGTGTGATGTGACTGTAAAGAGTTTAGAGCTTAGGCAAGCAAAAGTGCAGAGTCCAATTTTAAAAATCACAAAAGATTTATCTGCATTATATGATAACTAATTACATTTCTTAATAGTAAAGAACTGGTTCCTAACTACTCTAACACCCATCTCTTCTAAGGTTTCAAAGAGAAGGAAAAAACATCAAAACACTACATCTCTCCTGACACAGAGAGAGATCTCAATTCACACAGCACATTCCAATATGTAAAATCAGAAGTCAGAAGCAAAGAAAGGCTTGTAGTAGAAACGTATCCATTATACACAACCAATGAGAATGAGATCAGAAACACAAAGGAGAGAAGAAATAGATACATTCCAACTGTCATACAGGAGACATGGGGGAAAGGAAACCCTCAACCTATTCTAACTAACTTGTTCCTCATTGAGAACTAGAGACTTGGGCAGTGTGGAATTCCAACAATGGCACTGTGGCACGAAAGGTGAGGATAATTTCAAGTGGTTTCAACTGAAGCACAAGTTATTCCATGTTCTTTGCTCCTCTCTTTAGTTTGCATTGTTAAGAACCCTATTAATGCTCTTATGAACTGGTTTTGGGTTTTCATTTTATATATATATATTGATTCCTTTCCCCTCTTTTGTTTGTTTCTGTATTTACAAAAGAAACAAACTTGTGCCTAATTCGTGTAACAGGAAAAGAAAACAGAGATACGTAGTGTTATTGAATCTTCAAACAACTACTGTCTGAGATGAAGGCAAATGACGCTGCCTCTGTATATATTTCTTTATTCACTTATCTTTAACCAATCACATATTTAAAATGTGTGTGTGAAAGAAGCACTTTAGCCTGTCCTGAATTCTTACACCACTCTTCCTTCTTCCAAAAGCAGATAAGAGCATTAGGATAAAAGCCCAATTACTAAAACAGCATCTCCCTCCTATTAATTACTGAAAGTTTCAATTCCTCCCCTAAGTAATTGATTTGTATCCTGTACCAAGAGAAAGGCAAAATAGAATTTCAATTAAATAGCAATAAATAAATAAATAAATAAAACCATTTCCCTCACAAGTATTTATTTTTATATCACTTATGAAGCCCTGCCTGATAAGTAATCCCAGAGCTATATCATACAATGCTGCCAGGAGTTGGTTGACTGTGATTCAGATGGGGAACCTCTACCTTTTTCACATGTTACATTTTCATATCATTTTTATACCTTCCCTCTTATTGATATTGGTAATCTTGGATATCTGAAGCATCTATTACAAAAATAAGGTTGAAATCCTATGCAGAATTACCTGGAGGAAAGTCCCAGTAAATCCTATACAGAGTTACCTGGAGGAAAGTCTATAGGACATACCATCTTGTATATGAACCCTGCAAGGTTCACTAGGATTTACTTTCAGTTTAGTAAATACTGGATAGCTCTCTAAATTGGACTTTTAAAAACTGAAACAAAAATACAATATTTTCACAAATGTATATGTACATAAATTAGATTTTCGCACACACCAGGAGCAATATTATATGCCATACCTTAAGGTTCTTGGCAGTCACTTCAGGTGTTTCGTCATAACCACCAAAAGTGTTAGGAAGACCTAGAGAAATATTATAGTGCATTTAAGTCAACTATAATCTATACATGAAAATAGTCTTATTGCAGTTGTAATTTTAGTCAAACACAGTTTATAAATTCGCTATATACAATATATAGCAACATTTCCATACATATGGATCCTCCACACACATAAATCTTAGTACTTTCTTTATTCAAAGAAGGATGGTAATTTGCTTTGAAACAATTTAATAGCATCACTGCAGCAACATTATTCTACTAGAGTTAATTAGTATGTACTTCATGGGCAATAAACAGAAAATTAGTTACACTTTTTTAAATAGGCTTTCCTAGACAATCACTTAGCTTTAAAATATATACGTTTCAATATTATCCATGAGTCTCTATCTTATTTTTGAAAACCAATTTCTTTGTTTTTTCAATAAAGACTCAACCAAAACATTGACACCTCGTAGTGTAGAAACAACTGCTGCACTATTTAAGTTACAAGCATTAGTTTCAATGTGTTTGACAGATTCATGCACAAGCTGGGCATCTTCTTCCACAAATCTGGAGTGGAAATGTTCACATTTCTATTACTATTTCAAAGTAGAAGCATACTAACTATTTAGGGAGATATCACCAGTGCTGGCAAAAGTTACTTTCTTTGCCAACATAAATCACTGCATTGAGAAGAGCAGTCCCATCAATTCCACTGTAAATTGACCACAATATCTTATATACAGATTATATAAATAATGTGGCCAGCTTTCGTACCTAATGAGTTGTCTAGAAATATTTAGCTATCATATAGCCACTTTTAATCCTTTGCATGAAGCAACAAGGAGATGTATAAAAAGTATAAAGAGAAGCCAAAAGAGTAATTTTATTCTCTTCCAGATAATTCCCACATAATGGCATCATAATCCTATGTTTGATGGGATGTTTTTGTATAGCACAATTAGCATAATGATTACATTGACTATTAAATGATATCAAGCACACAAAGGAAAATGTCTAAATATATATGTTGTGGTTGATAATACATATGACTTGTACTGATGTGGAAAGGTTAGATTTATATTACCTGCATTAGGATAGCAAATTATGTAGGCAGTTGTACACTTCCCAATAGTTTCAATGAAAGGCCTCATTTCCACTGCTCCCAAAGCACAATTTAATCCAATGCTAGAAAACCAAAATACAAACAGAATATTTTGGGTGTTCAGTACTATACAAACAACAACAAAAAAGAAGAATCGACTGTTACAGGCAATATATTTGACACACACAAACACACACTATTCAGCCAATGACATAGCTATCTTATTGAAGCTAAAGACTACTTTACCTAGACCAGTGGTTCCCAACCTTTTTTTGACCAGGGACCACTTTAACCAGGGACAACACTCCAACGTTAGTACCAAAAGGGTTACAAATCAGTTTTTGGTCCACTTTAGATTCAGTTTGGTTATTTGGGGTGCTGATTCAGAAAATAGGATAGACTACATCAGCTCTAGTTTCTGATACAGAACATATGCCATCCAGTAGTCACCATCTGCTCGCCCACAGAAAATCATATTTAATAATATAGAGCTGATGTGGACTATCCAATGCAATTTTCTGAATCAGTACCCCAAATAACCCCAAGAACAGGCCTAAAAATGAAGAGACCAAGGTGCCCCTGCTTCCAGGAGCCACATGGAACAGCCCTGCTCAGGGAAAGGGAGGAGGAGAAGCAGCAGTCAGGAGGCTTGTTGTCACGTCTTCCGTGGGTGATTAGCCTCTCCCCTGCCAACATCCCCAATGCCTCAGCACTATAAGAGGGATTCATGAGACCAGTCACTCTCATTGCAACAGTGTAGTAACGGTGAGATCGTGGACCATATTTTAGTTCTTCTGGACTACTGGTGGTCCACAGACCACAGGTTGGGAACCACTGACCTAGAATCCCTTGGGATTCCAGGGAAAGTGGGATATACATGTACTACACAAATAGACAGTACTGAGATAATATATAATGTGAGCTAAATATAAAAGAATTGAGTACATGGATAAACAAATACAGTTATTCAGAAAAAGTATACAATATGAACACAATGGGGGAATGGTAGCTTCATCTCCTCCATTGCCAGTTCTCCATGTGCATGATCCCCATTTGAGTAAGGATCCTGAAAAATCTGGGTGCCTCCACTTTCACAGAATGATTGAAGAGAAACTATTTGTATTCTCATGCTATTCACATTCTCAAATGAACTCTTTTGCAAACATCTGAATGCCTGGCATTAAAAGAAACCAGTCAAAAAGAATATACTATAATCTAGTTTAGGGAGAGAATTGTGTGGAAACTGGCAAAAAAAAAACCCTTCCAAAATCAATTCCCTGCTCTTTAAAATGTTTTTAGACAAGAAGAACTTGAGAATGCATCTGTTTACTATGCCTAGAGCTAGCATTAACACTGTGGAATTGAATTATCTGCCTCAGTTTTGAGGCAGGAAAGGTTTCTCCTCCATGAATAAAGAACACCCAGAAATGCTCAACAAGTTATTAGTGAGAAAATATCAATACTAAACATGGGAAAGAAATCAGGCCTTAATCTCAAGGGCAGGACAGGAGAGGTAGCAGTGGGAGGAGGGAAGAACAATGGGAAGATTTTGCAATAACCACTCTTATGGTAGTGACCTCAACATGTCTGAACTTAATAAGGAATTCCAAGACAAGACTGCAATCCTCATTAATTTCCGAGCTGCCAAGCCCGCTGCTGTAGCAGCAACTCTCACTGCCCCTGCCTTCCTCCCACCATCATCATATCATGCCCATGCCCATATGCCCTGGCCCTCTCTTCCCCCATCACACTCCTTCTCTGCTCCAAAAATCAGTGCACAAGCCGGCCTCCCTCCTCTCACCCACTCCATCCCATTCCATCACCTTCTCCTCCCTCCTTCTACTCCCCTATCTATTCCCTTTTGTCTCATGCCCAATACAGAGAGCAAGCCAAGCAATGCATACATAGCCTGGCCCACTTTGATATATTCCCACACAACACTGGTGTTATCAAAGTCTCTTTTTAAAAGGGCAGCAGAGGAGGCAGAAGCAAATGCAGCAATCTGCAAATAATTAAATCTGAGAGTGCTTGCACAGCAAATGTGGAAGTGCTGTATAAAGAAAGATATTGCTTGACTCTTTTTCCCAAAGAAAAGAATCAACAAGACAATGTAACTTATTATAAGTGTATATAATCTAAGTCAACAATCCCTAACACACTTTCCTGAGAACAAACATCTGGGAATTTAATGGGATTTACATCTGAATAAACTATTATGACAAATATATTCTGATTAACTGGGTAAAAGATAACATAATATTTTTAACACAAGTTTTTATAAAACTGCAGATAGCGGGCTACACACACACATATACACCATCTCTTTCTCTCACCAACACGTAAAATGAAATCCAAAGTTGTGCATCAAATGTACATTTGCAAAATGGGAATGTTCCCCTCAAAATAATGTAACCAGCTTTTGCCACCACATCAATAATCAGTAGTACAGCGACTTCGCTTTTTAAAAAATCACAATACCATTCTAGGTCTTCATGGACAGGGAAATAGAATTCTCAGCCAGAGAACAAGTGCCTCACCAAACTACAAATGCATAGGATGAAGCCACATTAATTAAGATGGAATCACAGTGCTATAAGCCCCGGGTCGAAGATCCGCCGGGGAGGCCCTCCTCTCACTTCCACCACCACCACAGGCACAGCTAGTGGGGACAAGGGAGAGGGCCTTCTCAGTGGTGGCCCCTCAACTTTGGAACACCCTCCCCAGGGAAATTAGACAAGCCCGCACACTGTCGTCCTCTTGCAGGGATCTGAAAATCTGGATGTTCCAGCAAGCTTTGTGAACGACTAGTCCCTAATTATAGATGCCCAGTCCCTAGGTCACCAAACAGTACTCTATTCTCTGTACCTCATCCAATTCCCATGACCCATGGTACGCTGTTTTGCACTATCCCATATCCAACCCTTTTATATGCCTGGTCACGCTAGTAATTCTGATAACTGGTTGTTTGTTGAACTTCAATGATGCTGTTTTATTCTCTTTATTTAATTGTGTTTTATCTGGATTGTTGTATTTTACTATGTTCTTATTTTAGTGGTGTTTTTGTTTTAATTGATTGTTTTGCTTTTAATGTCCCATATGTAAGCCACCCCAAGTCCTTTTGGGGAGATAATGATGGGGTATAATAAAATTATTATTATTATTATTATTATTATTATTATTATTATTACTGTCATTATGTAGTGTAATAGAACTAAAGGTGTCCGGCACACTTAGAAAGTCTTTCTCACAGAGGATTAAAAAATTGAAACATTGCAAGGGGGCACAAAAGTCAGTCCTCATTTAAGGTCCTGTTTATCTTAGGTCATATTCAGGGTGGGGCATAAAGATCTCCCACATTTTGAAAAGGTATAAGCTATATCGAAAAAAATGTATATATTTCTGAAAAGTGCATTCAAACAGTTTTGTTTTAATGTGATTAAAACTTATCAGATAAATCACTTTGTAGGGATGCAGTTTTAAATCAGCATGCAGAATCATCCTCAAACTCCAACTTGACATCCCCAGCACCATGGTATGCTTATGAGCAGAACACCTTGGTAATTATTGAGTGGATGTAAATACGACTTTCACATTTTTTGACATTTGAACGGTCCTAACGGTGCCGGGTATTTTCTTTTCAGTGTGGCTCCAGTTGCCAGAAGATTAAAAAGCTATAGCAAAATCATTTTTTGGTCTGGTATAGAGGCATTTTGACCAAACGTGAAGCATGTACAGAACGCTCTCTGCATTGTTATCACAGAACAGCTGTTCTGATATTACACTTGAACAACAAAGCCCTGATGTTCAACAGTCCAACTCACGATGGTACTAAAAATGGCAGGATCTAACCTTCTGAATTACACCTGCCCCACCTCGATCCCTACTACAGCCTCCTCAAAATATGGGAGATCTTTATGCCCAATCCTGATAAGTCTAGCAGATAGTCATGAGAAAAGGCAAGCTAGAGCTGCATGCTTAAAGGATCGATTCTCTCTACTTTCCTGAAGTTATGTATATAGCCTCAAACAGAAAGGATATATCAAATAGAATGCCATGACAAAGAGGAAAAATAAGACTGACTCTTTCTTATAAATCAATTACTGAAGAAATACTAGAGCCAAGATAAGGATAGCTATTCTTGTCAAACTATATAGAAATAAATTTCAGCCTCTCCTGTTATCTAGACTGATTTATACGCCTCCTCCACTGCTTCCTCCCCACATTCGAGGCTTATTGTCACCTTAAGCTTTTATCTTTTCTTCACTTCTTTTCAGCACCCCATAGAATTATAGAGCTGGAAGAGACCTCATAGGCCATCCAGTCCAACCTCCCGCAAAGTAGCAGGAAAATTACATTCAAAGCACCCCTGACAGATGGCCATCCAGCCTCTGTTTAAAAGCCTCCAAAGAAGGAGCCTGAAACGCTCTGGGGCAGAGAGTTCCACTGCTGAACAGCTATTCCATCTGTCTCTGTCTCACACTGCAAGTCTCATGCTTGGTTTCTCCAGAGCTCCAAACAGCAAGAGAAATATGTGGAAGGTATTTCAATAAATGACTAGAATTACAGTATTGCTGTGGTGGTGGTGGGCATACAAGTCATTTCCAACTTATGGAGAACCTATGGGGAATCTGTCTTCGCAATATTTGCTTGGGTTTCTTTGGAGGCTGAAAAAAGTGTGACTTTCCCAAGACTCTTCAAGTCTCTCCCTCTCTTTTCTGGAGATGTATTTAACATCCAGGGTTTTTGCTTTAAGGCAAAACTTCATGATGCATAAGCAGACTCCAGAATCCATATCATCTCTTTCTGATTAGGTATACAGAAGATTGGGGGTATGACACATACCATACACATTTAAACCTGGCAGCCACAATATTCTTTGATGTAGTGCAAAGGCCTTTTCGCTTTAACTACCATCGCAATATTCTATGGATACCAGGGAGCACTAGAGCTCCATGACTAGAAATTCTAAATAACTTCCTAACTGACAAATTTTAGGAAATCAACCCATTTGAAATGTGGTGTGGGAAAAGTGGAAGTCAAAAGAGTTAAACTGATGATATCATAATTTGGACTTACCATGAAAGCAGAATGGCGTTAGGTAAAGTCAAAGGCAGTTGGACAAAAAAACGAAGAACACACTCAGATTCACTCAATAAAAGAACCCACAGATCTGAATTTGCAAGACCTAAGTTGTGACAGACTGCATTCATTTTAGTGTCAATGGGCCCCGAAATTTCCCTGAGCAAGAGAGTGCATCCGCTGAAGGAGACATTCCATCATCTTTGTTCCTCTGACAATGTCAAGTTATGCCAGACTGGAGGATGGACAATCGCAAATAAAATTGCATGGTCAACACTGTGAAAAATTCCAAATTTCTGAATCTATCTTAGAAAAAACTAGAAAGACATAAATTCTTCCACTTCATCATTAGCAGACTCTAGACTATGTTATCTCACCAGAGGGGTTCACTGTGAGATGTACTGATGACAAATGCTTCTCCAGTCTGACCAGAGAGAGTACGTCCACTTTTATCGACAATAGTTCCAGACACCTAAAGAATGCAAGGGTGGTGGAGAGAAAGAGAAAAATCACAAGTTGAGAAGTCTACAAACCGCAGAAGCTAAATTGAAGCAAACAATGCCCAATTAAAATTCAGAAGAGGCATTCACTGTGCTGACCGTTCTGTGCAGCCACCTCTGAAAAACATTTGTCTGGTCACAAAGTAAACAAATGCTAACTCTTTTCTTCTATCAAAAGGTAAAACAAGGTGAAGGAGGGAAAGTTTTTTACTATACTCATTGGAATCTGAACAATATGTCGAGACCACCATAGAAACACTAATGAAGCACTAAATCTTATTTTTTTTCCACTTTTTAAAGAGAATACCATTGTCACTTTCTATTTAAAATTTTGATTTTTGCAGATTTTAATTTACAAATTTGTTTAAAATGTTATTTCTAGGACTCACCAAGTTCCTAGTGTGATTCTATGCTCAACTTCTCTTAGTCATACTGGAAGTTCTAGAGATTTCTACTGAGAACATCTCTAGGAATCTCGAGGTCCCCCAGTGCAATTCTATGGTTAACTTCCAGTGGAATCCAACCTCAGAGTCACCCCGGAAGACCTAGAATTTTCTAGAGAAGTGTTTCTCAGATTAAAAAATATGTATTTGTGGTTTCACATGGCCTTGTGCCCCAAAACTCCAGCAAATGTGGAAGGCTATTTCTACTTATGGATTATCTCAATTGGAAGGAAGAGAAGGCACCTCCTCTTTCTCACTCTCAACTCCTTCAGTCTATAATTTGGCATTTTGGGAATTTGATTTTGATATTCTTTTACTTTAACATTATTTTTTCACCTCTCTATATAAATGGAGCCTGAATGATATAATATTCTCAGCACTCTATGAGGATCGCCATGGAAACCAATAGCATATTACACAACCAGGATTAGCAACAAAATTAACTGCAAAACATGAGCCTTTTAATTAATTCCAAAGTTCTGGTCCATCAATGCAATTTCTTCATGTTCCAATCAGATCAAAAACCAACACAAACAAAACTGACTTCTCTTTTTCCTGATGTTTTTCTTAACATGCTGGTTTAATAGAAACTCACATGAATGTAGCTAATGAACAAAAGCCATAAATTAGAGGGTATCATTGTTTGAGCACTCGGCTATGCTTATAGAAACCAAGATTTTATCCCAACTTGGCCATGGAAACTCACTGAGTAAGTAGGTAATGTACAACATAAAGTGCTATCATTTCAAAGGAAAAATTTGCATACAAGTCTCTCCTGCAACATGTTTATCCATAGTTGTCTGAGCTCATTCAAGTCAGGTAAGTGAGAAATCAAAAATAAACTTCTAGCAATTGGCAACCCCTAGTGCTCAGAGGGAAGGACTAACAAATAAACACATTGCAAAGCTTGTTTCTATTTCATGAAAACTCTTGCTCCTTAATAAGTTGCAAGTAGGAGTCAAGACAAAACATGGTAAGGTGCTTGTGTCCACAGATGAAACAGCATGTTGAACTACTGCAGTTGTACTGAATCCAATTTTCATTAACTTAAACTGATTGAGGTGAGCAAAGCTGAAAGTGCTACAGTTGTGCCTCACAAAAGTAAAGTGTTGATATAAGATATGTATATCAACACTTTACTTATGTTGGTGTCTTAAATTATTTATTGTTCTTTCAACTGTAGTCATTTTTGTTACGTAGAAAGAAAGCATATACCATTCCCTATACATTATTACAAATATTTAATTAAATAATGTCCATATAAAGCCTGAAGTCTTTTGAACACCACATTTAGACTAAGCATGCTACATCTGGTGACATTATCTAAATCACCAGAAAATGGTCTAGCTCAAGTGCATAAACTAATCAGAAGCATTGAGGCCTCAGTCATAGAAACTGTAAATTTATCATACTCACAAATAATGGTCTGGGCTCATATTCTTCTTCAAACAAGTTCTGGAGAGCAAAGAGAGCTGCCTGTGCAGTAAAAATATCACAAAGCATTAGTATTTTAGTTTCATCCCATTTTGCAGTTCTCAAAGTCCTTCACATAATTTAACAGAGGCCTTTTTAATGCAGGAGAGAAATAAAAATACAAAAAAGCTTTTTTTCTCCCTAGAGAAAACTCAATTTTCCCCAAATCAAATTAGCTACAGAGGATCAAAAAGGAACCAAAGGCTCTATAATTGCTAGGAGCCAAACTGCTCTACTAGAAATCTCACTTTGCAAAGAAATGCAGGTCAAAGGTATGAGTCTGTCTGGAAACTGACTTTTATAAAATGCAACAACTTATAATGTAAAATAACGAACTGCTCTGAACTCTTTACATCTCTGTGCACAACACATACAAAGTTGTCAGTGGGCACACAAAACAAATGAGCTTGGAACAGGATCATCCAGGAGTCCAGACTGGCCCCAGAAGTGGCCACATGCTCAGTCCTCAACCTGCAGCAATTTTGGGGCAAAATCTAGATGGACTAGTTGGGCTTCTTCACCCACTTTGGCCTTGCTGGACCATCACCTTACTGCCTGTGTCATTGCTATCACTCCCAAATGGACATGGAGTTCTGCAATAGCTCCTGGCCATCAAAGACACTCTGTGCTGGTAACAGAGACGCCAGTGCAAACAAGGAGCAGGAGCTGATCTGACTCAGACCTGATCCTGTTGTCCACACTGTGCCATAGTCATGGGGTTAGTAACACTTTAGTAACACTTCTTAACACTGTTTTTTGTACTGCAGGGTTAAATGTAGTTTACACTGTGACAAGCACCAGAAGTTCAGGAACTTCATGAAGACAGCCAAGAGCAAATACATAAAAAGGACAGGCTTTTAAGCCTCAAGGTGATATTCAGGTTTCAAAAGGAAAGGTGGGGAAAACTCTCTCCTTCCATCCTGCTACCTTCCATCCTACTGCTATTATAGATTGAACATTCCTTATCTGGTATTCCAAAATCCAAAATACTCCAAAATCTAGTTTTTTCCACACAGGTTAATGAGATAGTGACACCTTAGCTTTCTGATAATTCAATGTATTCAAACTTTGTTTCATGTATAAAATAATTGAAATATTGTATGAAGTTATCTCCATGCTTTACTATGATGCATATGAAATATGAATGAATTTTCCTGAAGATATCTTAGCATGTACATATATACAAATAGAAGTAATATAAGAAATCTAAAATTCAAAACACTTCTGATCCCAAGCATTTTGGATAAGTGATATTCAACCTATATCATCACCACTATATCTTTTTAGCTTTCCTTATTCCCGAAATCTCTCTGTATAGTGCAAGGGGAACTTTTCAAATCCCATGATCCTATCTCCTGAAGGACTCTACAAGTATTACACCCACTTTGAAATTCACTTGTGAAAAAATGGCATACTATAATCTTATGTAAAAGAAATACAGTGTGCCTTTAGACTTTCAGTTCACATAAGTCATGTATGTTTGCCTATGTGTGAAAGAAATCCTTACTGGCATTTCTATCACATATTCAGTTTTGGCTTAGAACTCTCACCTTGGCATTGGCTGTATCAAATATGGTTTCCACTAACATGATATCTACTCCGCCATCTAGAAGTCCTTTGGCTTGTTCTGTGTATGCTTCCACCAACTCATCAAAAGCTGTTTTACAAAAAACAGATTATCTCATTACATCGAAAAATTCATTCTAATTCCAATGTGAAATGTGATACTCATACAACATAAATATACATACAGGTAATGAATCACCGTTGTTCTCTAATTTCTAACTGTTTAATGCAACTTATAACAGAGTATGTTTAGCTGTTGCCAGATAATGTTGAACCAAACCTTCAGAATCCATGAGTACAAGTCCAACTTCTAGTGACTTGGGTTTGAGTATTAACATGCTATAGCCTCATCTAATTTTGCCTGACTACAGAATAGATTTGGTTGCCCACCTCTGAGTTAGTGTCATATAGTGGTTTGAGTGTTAAACTAGGACTCAACGAGATCCAAGTTCGAAACCCCATTCAGCTTTGGAATGCACTGGGTAACCTTGGGTACAACATGCTATCTCAGCCTCAAAGTCAATGGTAATAAACCCCCCCCCCCCATTAATCTTATCATGTAAATGTGGTGAGATTATTTGAAAGCAAAGAATAATAACTACCCAACAGATGTAAGTATCTCTAAACCTGGAATAACAACTTTACTAATTGCAGCAAAACCAGAAAATTGATATCAGAAAAGGAGTCTTTGGACTTACCTACTGCACACGATAACAGCATTTCAGTTTATGGTGCAGAATCATTGTGACAAAGGCACCAAAAGCAACTGTCTTTACTAATTAGAAAAAGGATAATTAGCAATACTTACTAACATTCCTATAGTCTGGCTTTTCCACTGAAGGAGAAACAGAAAGAGTCTTGTTCGTGGGGCCCATTGCCCCAGCAACATATCTTTTATATCCTTAAACACAAGAGACATAAAAACACAACATTCATATGGCACACTTGGAATCATACGATATAAACATCACAAGAGATAAGAAAGAGGACAGAGAATAGGCTCCTATAAAGTGACTAAAAGAAAACTATAGAACAGATAATTGGCACTAGGAAACAAACTGTGAGGCAAAGGAGAGAAGACAGAGAACAGAAACAAGAAGTTAATTCAAGAAGGGAACATTTCATAATTTTTGAGAATAGGAAAAATATTAAAGTGCTTACAGAAGAAAAAAGAAACGAATGCAAGCCAGGCTAGTCAACAAAGGAAATGGATCCTTGCAATAAAACCTCATTCAAATACCATTTATGAATAAGATATGTTACAATTTTTTAAAATAAGAGACAGAGAAAGAAAGCCTCTTCAGTGGTGGCATTCGGGTTTTGAACAATTACCAAAACAAATCACAATCTTTTTAAGAGTTAAGTCAAAACATATTTATTGGTTCAAATATTTACATATATTACTTTCTGTGTTACTTAACAGATTTATGGTCCTCTTTAAGTTAACGGTACTGACGAGAAGTGTTATCTCAATTTTTTTATTTATATAGTAATGCTGTAATATAATAATCAGCAAATTATCAAATCTGTTAGTGCTTAACCCAAATATGGGGAGGAATGACTGGCTTAGAGACTGGAGGAAACCAAGCAAAGTAAATGCCAAGAGGACTCAGTATTGCTGGTCTTGAATCCAGCATGGCAGAAACATTCTGGCAGCTGTGGCATTGCTCTCACTACACAGCATTGCGCTCTTAGAAGCCTAAAGGGCCAACATGAACAGAAAGCCTGCATTTTACATACTGACAAATTAGCAAGTCTGATTCGAAGACTTCCAGTAAAAATCTACTCTGGAAAGCTGATTGGATATGACATGAGAAAAGGATATAAGAACTTTGAAAAGACTGGAACCAGTTAGCTTTTAAAAAATGCTATCATGCCCTAAAGTGTAATACATGAAAAAGATAGAAGGAGCCTGTCCTTAGCAATTATTTATTTATTTATTTATTTACTTTGCTTATATACCGCTGTATCTCAAGCCCGAAGGCGACTCACAGCGGTTCACAAACAGTAAAAACAGTAGAAACAGCAGTGGTTCCATACAACATATAACAATTGACTTAACACATTATCCATAAATTACCAATAAGCAATTACAATGCACAATTATTACAAAAAACAACCGTACCCAATCTTCTCATCATCCAAGCGTAGTCCAGATTCGTCGTCCATTGTTCCATTCCTATGTTCCATTACCAGATTGTACTAAATTATTCAAACGCCTGCACAAACATCCAGGTCTTCACCTTACTAGTCCCTTTTACACCTTACTAGTCACCAATTACTAGTCCCTTTTACAGTATTCTTGGTTGTAAAGTAGCAGCACCTTTTTCAAAGCTGTTGCGAGACCACAAACCCTATCTTAAATCATTTTTTTCCTAGTGGGAGATTGAAATGTTGTATGTTCTAATCATTTCAATGTATCTTCAAGCAGCACAATATGAATTCAACCGGTTTATTTGTATTGTATCCAATTTAGTGTGTGTGTGTGTGTGTGTGTGTGTATGTGTATACACACACACACACACACAAATTGTTTTGGCCAGTTTTACTGGAGGACATGTCCAGTAATCATTTACTTTAAGAGACAGCCTAGTAAACTCAAGTAGCCTACAGTAACCTACAATCCAAGTGCAAAATAGTGTGTTGTAAAACAAAGAAAATTGCTCACCTGTTTCAGCAGTAACATCATCTGCTGCTCTTCTAGCTACCTGTGCTGATATTTTATTCAACCGATAAGCCTAGGCAGTGGAGGAGTACAAAAGTGAGGAGATCAAAAATAGAAGGCAGAAAAATCAGTGTTATATTCCCATTAACACTGTATTAACTGTATAGTTGGAAGGCTAAGTCAATGCAAGTCATCAAGGCATGATTCCATAAGTTTCAAACACAGGCGCTGCTGGTACTGCAGCAAAGAACACCAGCTCACTCCTATTTTAAGTTCTCAAGCCAGTACTTGTGCTCTCCATTTAATTTGGTTAGAGCTATCAATGAGGATTAAAATCAGACTGGGGTAAAGTTGTACAATCTACAACTTTATTTCCACACATGTTGTCTAGACTGCCTTAAAGAATGGGTGACCCTAGAAGCTAATGATCTCTTAGAGCTAGAATACGAACTTCGTAATGACACCACAAATTTATCTTTTGAACATGAAGAATAAGAAAAGACATTTGATAAAATTTTATTTTATTTTATAGTGGCAGCACAATGAGTATATGCCAGATATTGGATAAGCCCAGAGTTACCCGATATAGAAGAATGAGAAAATTGCTTCACTTGCTGATAATAGATAAAATAACTGTACTCTCAAGAGGAGAGCAACTAGAGGATTTTGTTAAAGAATAGCAGCCAGTGACCCAGCAACTCAACAATAAAGTAAAGATAAGCTGGTGGTACAGCAAGTTAAACCGCTGAGTTGCTTAACTTGCTGACCAAAAAGTTGGTGGCTCAAATCCAGGGAGCGGGGTGAGCTCCCACTTCTGCTAACCTAGCAGTTCAAAAACATGCAAATATGAGTAGATCAATGGGTACCACTTCTGTGGGAAGGTAACAGCACACCATGCAGTCATGATGACTACATGACCTTGGAGGTGTCTACAGACAACGCTGGCTCTTCGGCTTAGAAATAGAGATGAGCACACACATCATCCCCCCACCCCCACCCCGAGTCAGACACAAGTAGACTTAATCTCAAGGGAAAAACTTTATCTTTACGTACTTAAAACTGGTTATAGAAATATCTACAGAGGATCCTACAAGTCTGCAGGCAAATAGGAAACTGATACTAACTTAAAATCTCTGATTCTCTTATCTGTCTTACTCAAAAAGAAAATGCAATTGATAATATGTTGGAACTCTCAGCAATTTGAAAATATAATAGAAGTCCCAAAATTATTACTGTATGCAACAAACATTTACATTGTATACTTATTTTATTTTAATAAATAAAAATAAAAAAATCAGACTGGGGTGAATTTGGGAACCCTCTGGTCACAAGCAGAATTTGTCCCAGTTCTCTACAACACTTAGGTCCCTTCTACAATGCCATATAAAATCATGATTATCTGCTTTGAACTGGATTATATGACAGTGTAAAAGGGGCCTTATTCTACTTCAAATGTTGGGGTCACAAAAAATTTGGCAACAGCAACCATCACCTAGCGGCTGTTTATTTATTTATTTATTTATTTATTTCTTGTACTTATTGACCGCCACTCTCAGCCCTAGGGGCGACTCGTGGCGGTGAACAGCAACATGAAAGGACAGCATACAAAAATCATCACAATACATAACAAACTACTACTACGACATATACTTATACTAAAAATCCGCTTCGTCTGATCCTGGGGTCATGGCCAAGTTCGTAGTCATAGTCCATTCTAACGTCGTTCCACAGATACACTTAGTTGAAGGCCTGCTCGCAGAGCCAAGTCTTCAGGCTCCTACGAAAGGCCATCAGAGAAGGCGCCTGTCTGACTTCAGTAGGGAGGGTGTTCCACAACCGGGGGGCCACCACCGAGAAGGCCCTCAAATGTTTCCGACATTTACACAAATCTGTTGTGAAGTGTTTACAGTAGACTCTGCAGAAGATGCTTTGGCTGTACTTCACAAAAAGGGAAATCAGCCTGTTTAGCAAGGTTTCCAAATGCTTGATTTTATACCTTAAATCCTATATGCCAGAACTTTCCACACTTCATGTTGGTGACACACTTTTTAGACATGTATCATTTTGCAACACGGTAATTCAGTTTTACTAACAAACCAGAGGTTAAACCAACCTGTTATAAGAGATATGAACACATACATACATAACCTTTTCAGGAGTGCATTTCCCTTCTGAGGGGTAGATTTCTTTCACTTTCTGTTGTTTCAGGGACTGCCTGTAGTTCTACAGGTATACCACCCCCCTATCACTGGATTCAAGCTCTCTCCCTTCTGCCTATTATAAGTGAGCAATTTCAGTCTTTGTTAACTAGCTATTATGAAACAGTGAAGCATTGTGGCTGTTAATCTTTATCTTTCTGGTCATTTTAATCCTTCTTTGCAAGACTCAGATAAACTTTTAGCTGAAATAAACAAATCCGTGCTATCTGTGTGCTCTCAGAAAAACAACTGAGTAATATTAGAGTCATATAGTCTGCTTGAGGTCCTGAGATTGTACAGAGAAAAGACCATTTACAAGCTATGATATTATAGCATAGCCATTTCCCTCTTTCCCCTTCATGCTTGTCTGCCACTTTCACCTCATGAAGAAGCATGTGGTTTCAAAGGCTAAAACAGAGCACAGTCTGCCTTCTTCAGATGGACTCAGACTGGTATTAATTTTGATTTTGGAAGTGAGCTTATACAAGCACTTCTGCATTTGTTATCAATGTAAATGACACTAACAAAATAACAGAAGCAAATGGACAGTTATCTGTCACCCATAGTGGGGAAAACAACAAAGGAATACCAAAGCTAACTTTGTTATAAATCCTGTCTAATCCAAAAGCAAGCCAATATTATTGCTAGAAAACCAAACAATATTCTTACCATGTGTTCAAGGCCATAGTCAGCTTGTGCTATTCTAGTGCTGCTGAAGGTGTTGGTCTCAATGATATCAGCACCAGACATCAAGTATTCCTGGAGGAAGAAGACAGCAAATGAAGAAGCACCTTTATCGGGGTAGGAAAAAAGAATATAAAAGTATCTTTGGGAAAGGAGTATGTCAAGGCTGTTTACTCTCACGCGACCTACTCAACTTGTATGCAGAACATATCATGCAAGGTGCGGGGCTTGACGAATCCAAGGCTGGAATTAAAATTGCTGGGGGAAATATTAATAACCTTAGATATGCAGATGTACGACTTTGATGGCCGAAAGTGAGGAGGAGCTGAGGAGCCTTCTAACCAAGGTGAAAGAAGAAAGTGTAATAGCTGGGTTGCAGTTAAACATAAAAAACCCAAGATTATGGCAACCAGACTGCTTGCTAACTGGCAAATAGAGGGAGAAAATGTGGAGGTAGTGACAGACTTTGTATTTCTAGGCACAAAGATTACTGCAGACACAGACTGCAGCCAGGAAATCAGAAGACACTTACTTCTTAGGAGGAGAGCAATGATCAATCTTGATAAAATAGTGAAGAGTACAGACATCACACTGGCAACCAAGATCTGCATAGTAAAAGCAATGGTATACTTCTTGGGAGGAGAGCAATGTCCAATCTCGATAAAATATTGAAGAGTAGAGACATCACACTGGCAACAAAGATCCGCATAGTTAAAGCAATGGTATTCCCCATAGTCACCTACGGATGTGAGAGCTGGACCATAGGGAAGGCTGAGCAAAGGAAGATAGACGCTTTTGAACTGTGGTGCTGGAAGAAAATTCTGAGAGTGCCTTTGACTATAAGAAGATCAAACAGGTCCATACTCCAGTAAATAAAGCCCGACTGCTCACTGGAGGGAAGTACTTTGGCCACATAATGAGAAGACAGGGAAGCTTGGAGAAGACAATGATGCTGGGGAAAATAGAAGGAAAAAGGAAGAGGGGCCAACCAAGGGCAGGCTCATATCCTTGAAGTGACTGGCTTGACTTTGAAGGAACTGGGGGTAGCCACAGCCAACAGGGAGCTTTGGCGTGGGCTGGTCCAGAAGATCACTAGGAGTCAGAAGCGACTGAACGAATAAGCAACAACAACAATAAATATACAATATTCTAAATACCATACATGATTTCTAAAATCTATACATACCTCATAATCCATACACTATAAAACCTATACAATCAGCATCTCCAATGAGAAAAATTTAAAACGGATTTTCTACTTATTTCTCAGACTTCTAAAGGACGATCACTTCTAGTTCACTCAGAGAAAACTGAAGAATAAGCAGCCTCTCAGGGCAGACAACATTCTCTATTGATTATTTAAATCAATGGTGCAGAAACTATGGTCCTGCCATTGTTAATGGCATCGTTAAGTCTTGCAGTGAAAACTTAGGCTGATAAGGACTGAAGTCCCAACAATAATCATATAATCCTCATCCCTGCATTAAGCTTCATATTGATGGCCCTTCTGACTACTTTAACCATAGTTCCTCACAATACAATATTGACTTTAATGACCAAATACAAGTTCTCTTGCATGTTGTGAGACAAAAGTTCAATAGTAATCCTAAATAAAATGCAAAAGGTTCACTGGGAATTAAACGTGACCATTCTGTGAAAGGGACAGAAACCGTGTTGAGTATTGGTTTGAACATAGAATTATGGCCCCTAAGATCAGAGTTCAAATTTCCTTGGGCAAGCCATGCTTTCTCAGCTTCCAAAGAAGGCAGAGGGAAACCCTCCCTGAACAAATCTTGCCAAGAAAATCCCGTGAAGAGTTTACCTCGAGTTCGCCATAAGTCAGAAAAACTTATAGGCACACAACAAAAAATGATGTTAATTGACTTATATTCAGTTCTGCCATGAGTATATTGTAACTTTAAATTCAAAGTGATGGTATCCATACGGAGTAAATGTTCCCCAATAGCTCCTTGAATGGCCTATATACAGATTTAATAGCTTCTCTAACATTGCTGGTAAGTAACCAGGTGTAAAATTGGACTCTCTAATCACTTTAATTCTGCTATTCATCATAGGAGATTAGAGAGAAAGCTTAAAAAGTCTCACCAACTGTAAATTCATCTAGTTCCTTTTCATTATTTGAACAGTAGGGGAGGGAAATCTACCATATATTATGTAATTAAACCATAATTGAAAATGGCAACATCAGCATTTTTTCTTCGATACTCATGCTGTTCCCCCAAATGAACACACCTCAGTGTCTAAAAATAATGTATATGCTTCTCCAGAGAGTTGGAAGAAATGGTGTAACTTTATAAAGTGCTAATGTGGCTGCATGTTTAAACCCTTGGGATTTCGCTCGATGAAACAGAGAAAATAAATGAGGACAAGGGTAATTACAGCCAATTATATTATAATCAGAATGCTGGCAGAGAGAAATGCTCAACTTAGATTTTCAAAGAAACTCACTAACAATAGACAAGATTCTCTTAGAAATATACACTTTCTAAAAACTAAGGCCAAACTCCTATGATCATCAGGGTGACAAGAAATATCATCTAGGGTGTTTTTTAAGCTTTCACTCTGCTGTGAGAACTGGTTTTTAATTACAAGTGTGCCCCATGCCTTTTAATATTTAAATAGGCATATTCTAGTGGTGTGAATAAAACCCTTTATCACAAACTGGAGACCAAAATTCACTCCCAAAAAGAAAGACAGAAAAGGGCTGGCCTTTAGCACAGCTGGTAAATCACCAGCAATAATAAGATCTACCAACTGAAAGGTTACCAGTTCAAAGCCCCAGGTCCATGTGAGCTCTCAACAGTCAGCCTAGTTTACTGTTTACCCAAGCAGTTTGAAAACAGCTTGAGCTGTAAGTAGAGAAATTAGATACCGCTAAAACAAGCGGGGAAGTATTTTACGACACCATAAAGAAAAAGATCAGAAAATGCCCAGCAACCAAAAGGAAGGAGGAAGTCCTGGTGGCTCTTCGTCATAGAGGATGCGGCGACAGTACCCCCCCCCCTCCCCATGGCTGAATTCGAGCACAACCTCCCAAGACGCCAAAAAAGCTGGAGGTCGACACAGAATACCTCCTTTCTGTTCTGTCTGTCTCTGTCCTATCTATCCAAAACAGCATTGAATGTTTGCCCTGCATGTGATAGGTTGTTGTTGTTAGCAATCTGCCTATATCTGAGTTAGATTAATATCCTGGGAGACCAGAGTTCAAGTCCTCACTCAACTATACAAACCCACTGGGTGACCTTGGGCAAGTCACAATCTCTGAGCCTCAGAGGATGACAAAAGTGACACCCCTGAACAAATTTTGACAAGAAAACCCTACAATACAAGTTGTAATGAAATGGAGTGAACCTAAAATCATAAAACAAGAATTAAATATATGTGCAGGTTCCATTTTTTACTATAATTTAAACAAAAGCACAATGTAATAACTGGAAAAAGTATAATCCGGTGACTTGTACTCATTTGGTCCAGGTGCTAACTGTTGACATGTGCCATGACCGTCCCTGCTTAGCCTTTTATGGTTCTCCATCTTCATACTGGACAGAAGAACCTTTTCACTAGAAGACAACTTCAACCATAATAATGTTTAATGTTTTATTAGGGGAGGGTCAATTTTAATGTTTTATACTATTTTTATCAATGGCATTGAATTGTTGCCAACACTGTAAAGCACCCTGAGTCCCCTTCGAGGTTGAGAAGGGCAGTATACAAATATTGCAAATAATAAATAATATTAATAATAAATAATAAACCAAAGGCCACTTCTCCATAAATTAGAATTCATGACTACCCTAAACACAACTATCCATCAGCCATTCCTTTTTGTAAAGGGATGAACTGTTACGAATAGGTAACATCAGTTCTGATGTACACTTAAGATTCCACATATAGTAAGAGATGGTATGCAGACCTGAGGCATGCTCCAAAGCATTATCATGATGAGACAGCTCTAAAATAAGACCACACCAATAGTTATTAAAAGTGCAAGAATTGTGTATTTTGAAATAAATCCTTGAAAGCTCCTCTTAATCAAGCAGATAGAACAACAGCATGGGTCTCTAGAAGGCAATATTTTATGCTCCTAACATAACAGCTTAATTTAGTTTTTTTTAATGTGACACAGGTATCAGAGATGACAGGAAATAGTCAACTTTTGTGCAGACATGTACAGGCATCTCTCTGTTGCTTCAGGCACTTTTTATCACTAGTCCAGTGAATAAGACAAGGGAGAAAATCGCTAGAAGCAACAGAATGCCATGAAACAAAGCCGTGACTGGGAGGTGAGGAGTCACAGCCCTTCCCCAAACATAAGTATTCCCTGTATATATTTTTGAACACTTTTTATTTTCACACTGTATTTTTAAAAAATTACCCTTATTCACTCTAGTATAATGCACCATCGAATATAATGTGCACCTGAATTTTAGTGATGTAATTTAGCCAAAAAAAGGTGAGCATTAGACTCAAGTAAATATGATATTATAAAGTAACTAAAATTAAATATGTTAATAATATATTACTAACATGTTGCCCTTAAACTAACAAGTGACATCAATGCACTATGTTGGGAAGAACAATGTGAGATCCACATGTCTGGACATCAGGGATGCATATCTAAGGCCCCGCATACTTTAGGGAGCATGTGAATGGAAACACATACAGAGAGGACATGTGAATAGAATAAATCACTTCTATTTTGGCCCTCACTTGGAGTAACTACACATTAACTCCAATCTTAGATATGCATCCTTGAAGGTCCAGGGACGTAGGCCCTAGCATGATTTTTGTTTGGCACAGGAAAACGTTTGAAAATACTTTCTCAAAGAGACTGACTGCACAGAGACAGAACTAATACTGTTTTTGAAAACTGAACACTTAAGCATTGCCCATTATCTCTTTTCAAAACAGTGCATTAGCATTTCTTGTTACTTTAAGGGATTGTGTTAGTAACAGATTATTAATATTACTTTATAATAACTGTTTTTTAAAAAATGGAAAATGAAGAAAGTAGTTATAAATGGCCCCAAATCACACCGAGCCTAGTATATATA